AACTTATTTTCTGGTGACAAATTATTAACATAATTATTCATTGTTTCTATTTATGTATGTATATATATTATATATATTTAATAATTATATTTTTTTTATATATAGATCCCTCTAAGAACATTACAAAGGTGGCGGAATAAAGTAAGGGCTTCTTTGGATGAAAATAATTCCATTATATTTGTAGAAGAAGGCTCATCTACAGGTATCAAGGATCAGACCGTACATGAAAGCAATAGCTCAGCTGACTCGGAAGAAAAAAGCCTACTACTAGTAGATGACGATGGCAGCGAATTGGAAGAAAACGATGATGATGAAGGAGCAGAAGAAGACGCTGAAGGTGAAGAAGAAGAAGAAGAAGAAGTTGAAGGAGAAGAAGAAGATGAAGAAGAAAATGAAGAAAGCAAAAATGAAGAAGAGGATGAAAATAATGTTAGTGACATTGAGAGGAACTGCAGTTCGGAGAGTAGTTATGAGGTTGGTGACAATCAAGACAATCAAAATGACGAGGTAGTTGAAACATATAGTATGTTGTATGAGAATAGCCCAAAAAGTACAGATGAATGTGTCTTAGCTGTTTTCGAATTGTACATTAAACACAGGATGACGAAAGAGAATTTAAAAAATACTTTGTTGACAATTTGTAATATGCTTCCACAGCCGAATAATATGCCTAAATCTTGTTTTCAGTTATTTCAGTATACTCGAAACATCGCTCCTCAGTGCTCTGTCACGGAACACTTCTATTGTAAAACGTGTCTTTTTTATGATAATAATATCTTTGTTAACAACTGTTGCCGAGTATGTTTATCAGGCGGCGGTAGATCGGTATTTTATGAATTGGATATATCGCAGCAAATTAGACATATGTTTGAGCATAGAAATCTTGCTGAGATTTTAAATCAATCGAAGTGTCGTGATCGCGATCCAAATGTAATTAGCGACATTACTGATGGAACAGAATATATTAGAGTAAATTGTAGAAGGGAAAAAGGAGTGTATGATTTAACTTTAATATTAAATACTGATGGTGTTTCATTAATGAAAAGTTCAAAGGCTCAGTTTTGGCCATTAATGTTTATGATAGCTGAAATCCCAGAGTATCTTCGGGAATCTTTCTTAGTCGTCACTGGTTTGTGGTATGATGAACGCAAACCGTTAATGAATACTTATCTTCAACCGTTTTGTTCAAAATTACAAGATTGTTTTAATGCCGGCGTTAATTGGATTGATCCAAAGACTAATGAGAGTGGCAATTCTAAAATTGTAGCTCCATTGATAGTGGCTGATGCCCCATGCAGAGCAGAGATGCAAAATATTTCCTATTATAACGGACGTTTTGGCTGTAATAATTGCGAAATTAAAACCAAAAAGTGTACAGTTGTGGAAACTGGTAAAAAGTGGATTCGTATATATCCTTTCATCAACGAAATTACTCTAAGAACAGGAGAAAAGATGGAAAAACAAGGGAAAAAGCAGCCAAACAGAATACTATTATTAAAGGTGTAAAAGGAAGATCAATTATTGCAGCTCTACCCCTTATTGATGTAGGTACATGTTTCATGCCTGAATACATGCATTCTGTTCTTTTGGGAGTTGTGAAGCAATTTATGGTTCTTTGGTTCGAAAAAACTGGAGATTGGAATGTGAAACATTTTATGGCTGAAATTGATACCAGATTATTAAACATCTTACCTCCGGATACATTTAGTCGCTTACCACGAAGTATATTCCATTTCAAGTCTTATAAGGCATCCGAATTCTATAATTGGCTCTTATTTTATTCAGTCCCTATTATGATTGATTATTTACCAGAAAAGTATTTCCAACATTGGCTTCTTCTCGTCATAGCTATATTCACGTTATTGCAAAAAAATATTAAGAAAGTACCAGATCTTGATGAAGCAGAATATTTGCTTAAATTATTTGTAAGGGACATTGAAATTTTATATGATGACCGTCAGTTAACATACAATGTTCCTCAGCTGTTACACCTTACCCTCTGTGTGAGACGTTGGGGTCCTCTGTGGGCTAATTCAGCATTTCCATTCGAAAATTTTAATGGATTTCTTTCAAATTTTGTACATGGCTCGAAACATATCGGCAAAGAAATTGCAAATAATTTACAAATAGTTAACGGAGTTCAAATTCTAAGAAACAAAGTTAATAAAATTAATAGATCTAATTCGACCCTACAAAAAGATAATGAAGTTAATGGTAATAGCGTGAAAGTAACGTTAAGTGACTCTGAGAGGGAATTGCTAATAGCGCATCAGTTTAGTGTAACTAATATACTAATGTATGCCAGAGCTACAATTTCTAGTAAAACATATACCTCTGAAATTTATAAGAAAATAAAAAGTAATAGTTACACTGTTTACATTAACTTTCAAGATAAATCTAATATTTATGGATCAATCAGATTCTTCTTCAAATCTAAAGGCGTGGTATATTTTATACTTCGTCAATTTTTCGTGAAACATGTAAATATTATTTATAATCAGGATACAATGATGAAGGTCAAGCATGTAATACCTGTGGAAGAAAATAGGCATCAATTTGTTATAATTAATTCAAATGACATAAACTTTATGCATAAAGTTGTGAAAATTGAAAATTTTATATGCAAACAACCAAATTTTCTTTCTAAAGTCTTATGATTATTATGATCAAATCATACTTCTGTTATATACAGCACATAATATATCGAATCATAATAAGTTCCTGTGTATGTACTTTACTTTATATGTAACTGCGTTTTTTACTGTAACACACATTTATATATAATATATTAAAAATATATAATTAATTTTATAAGATATTATATATAATACACCGCCGCCTGAGTTTAATATTCTGCAGGATTTATCGTATAATGTTGTGTATATTTTATAATTATAGCTATTTATAATAAAAACAAAATGTTTTATCAAGAATAATTAATATTATATTTTATATTCTATAATTTATATATCCGGAAAAATGCCTTATAAAGTCGTATATGATTATGTCTGCACATGTATAAATTTGTGTAAATCAGTATGACACCATACATTCCAAGTATGAATGTATACGAACATATGCGATCATGTATGACCGTACGAATAAGAATTCCGTTACGGTACGGAATCGTATATGATCATGTATGATCATATAGTAGCTTGCATACAATCATATATGGTTTTTATAAATTCATGTATTAATGAATATGACCATATACGATTATGCATGCTCATATACGACCATGCAAGATCGGACAATGTATTGTATGGAATGGTGTATGATCATGCATAGTCGTAAACAGTCTGCACATACAACACGTATGGTTCCATACAAATACATGTTCGAATGTATATGATCATGTATGTTTATATATACAACCATTCATGAATATATATAATTATACATAATAATATATTATTATTCAAAATTATGTAACATTTCATGTATACTTTTGTATGCTCATATATAATTATATAAAATCAAGCGTGAACGTTTTTCCCGGGAACTTGGCACCAATAAATTATATACTTAATCTAGTGCTGAATTTCAAAAAGGTACGAATATAAATTGTATATATATATATATATATATATATATATATATATATATATATACACACTAGACATTCATCAACATGTCATCTAGTGAAGAAACAGATGGCGAAATTGTGTGGACAGATTACACAGATAGACACAAACGTCGTTTAGCACATAAAAGAAGTTTAAATGAATTTACAAAAATATATAAAAAGGTTAAACGAAATAGAGTTTATAATATAGCAAATAATAATGACGGTCAAATAGACTTTTCTTATATCAAATATATTGATACATATATATTATATGATATATATAATATATATGTATCAATATATTTGATATTTTAATAACGTCTCAATAACATCGCTCTAATTATATGTATTATTTATTATCTTGCAACAATATATTACAATATTACTGTAATATTTCAATGTTATTTATCAACATGTAATATATCAGTAATATTTCTGTAATATAGTACGATAATGCGTAATATTTCTGGTATATTGCAATATTACTGAAATATTTACGTAATATTTCGTGCTATGTGGGATATGATTTGATATATTTGTTTAAATAATAATAAAAATATTTTGAATGCTTTGTTAAACTTTTTTTCTTTGATGACGATATTTTATTTATAGTGGCAATTTTGTTGCCAAGAAATAGCGAAGCTTATTCGAACTAAAAAAAATTGACTTGATTATTCCACATTTGACAATGTGGAATAATCAAGTGTTTTTGTTAAAATTGTAAATAGACGAGCATGTCTCGAAACATGTATCTTCTAACAATGTTCAATGTTCGGAAAGAAAAGATATATTTCATCTCATTAAATTAAATATTCTGTTTTATAATACTTATATGATCACTGCTCATGATTGCTGCTCATACGTTGAGAACCACTTTCCCCTGTCAGTTTGTTTACAAGTTGCTAGGCAACGCTTCTCAAACTGCTCGCAGCTCACGCGACGCAGCTTCTTCAACGAGCATTTCTTCGAACAACAATATCCAACGGTGCGGGCACAACAATATTAATAATATAATAGTAGTGATATTATTGTAATATTTCGGTACAATACCAAGATATCCACAATACCGAGATATTCATACCGATTGGTTTGTTTTAATTATCATAAACAACTGAAAAATACCGGGATATAAACAATTTTTTTCTACCAGTTTTAGATCATGGCGACAAAGGCTGCGTTCCGAAATTCACTGCCAGTACTGAAAATCTACAATATACGTAACGTAAACTGTAGATTTTCAGTACTGGCAGTGAATTATGGAACACAGCCAAATACATGTGAGGATGTATAGTAGCTTTTCATTTCGTGTTTACGTTTCGTGTATCGCGAAGTGATATATTTGCGACGTAAATCCGTGATTTTTGCATAAGTACGAAGATCGACTTTTGTTCGGTAGTACACATTTGATAGTGACAAAGTACGAGTTTTCAATATTCATTCTTCGATAAAGCCGTTGCTGAATAGTCTACAGTGAAACCTGCAACGGGACGAACAGCTACAATATAGTTGGTAAGTGTATTTATTCTTTTATTAAACATATGCATAACTGTAATTTATATATGCATAACGTATACGTATACAATTACAACATTTTTGTTCATTAGATATTTATCGCAAGAAAACATTGAAGTATTCACAATTAGTAATTTACATTCAGTGAATATTTATTATAATTTTTTACGAATAATTATTGACGCAAATAAATTAAACAAGGAAAGGAGACAAGTAATAAATAATATTGTCTATATGCATGCGCTCGCGATGTAATACAAATTATGAACGAGTGTTCTTAATAAACTAATATATATTATACAATTTAATAACTAAAATATGTTAATATTTTTTAGATACAACTAACATCGTACTTAGCTAGGGTACAACGACTGGTGAGTGAATTCATTCATTATGTATGCATGGTTATATAAAATACTGACACCATTGTCTTTAAGCTATTATTTATATTCGCAACTTTTGCAAATATTAATGATTAAAACTCATAATATTTTATCACTTTCTTTAAAAGTACTGAAAGACATATTGCTGCAATTGATACAAAAAATTAAAAAATTTTTGAATTAACGGAACTTAAGTTTATAACAATTTTTTTTTAATTAGTCATTCTTGCTTAGCCATTCTTTCTCTCATTTCGCACGATGATCTATTCGATCAAACCTTTTAAAGGAAGTGCAGGACCGCCCAAGTTGCGCTGCATACGCCGGTCCTTGACCGGAATGATGCGTGAAAGAATGCAAAGAGAGGCCGAGATGTGCGTACATAACTTTCACCTGCACTTCGCATCCCACCCTATTCGCTCACTATGATTCATTGCATTTGAATATTTTAATTATGACGTGTAACATTTTTACACATATTCAAACTACTATTAAAAACAATTTCCTTTCCATCGATGTTTTAAAAAATTAAATAGGCATTTAAAACATTTTTTATGATCTTTAAAGAACAAAATAAATAAAATTTAAATGTGCGTTTTAAAATAGAAAACTTTTTAATACTGAAATTATATAACAGAGCTAAATTTTACTGAAATTTTGATTCATCTGTATTCGCGGAGATTTATTACGATAAACTTACCCATTCGCCTATAAACATACCTTCAAAGCATTTGCTGCAGGCGTGGTGCACGCGAACTTCAACTGTGCGCACTCTCTCATCCTCTCGCGTTGCATATTGAAGAGGTCAGGGTATGCCTCGTTAACCGGAGCCTTTTACGCTGCAAATTGTTTTTGATCGATTTAGCTTCCAATTAGAATCTTCGTCGAAATATGACAAAATTAACGCATGCTTTTCATAAAAAAAAACAATGTTGATAACAACGAAGTTTGTAATGTATGTTAAACTTCTTTGTTTTCTGGATTTTTATAAAAATATGATGTTAAATTTAAATACATGATATATAAAACATTGTATTATTTTTAATTAATTAATAAAAAATTAATTTGTTTTTTTAATAAAAACGCGAGAACAGTATTAGGAATCATTAGAGACGAGTATGCACGGCGTGAAAGGCTCAAGTGTTTCAGCTGATTCTGCTGCGAATTTTTAAGCAGTCGCTGCGGAGTTGAACTTCATATGCCGCGTTCTCCCGCGATCGTAAAGGTAATCACAAATTTACGCTCCTTACATCATCCTGACCTGCGAAATAGAAACTAATAATTTATTGCGGATATTACGAGCACTCGCTGATCACGCTTAATTGCGTTTGATCGCGATAAGCTATGAATTTGCTATGAATTTACAGAGGGTCAGAAATAAGAGTGATCTTTATAGCGAAATATTTTTATGTTTATTGATGAAATACGCCGTCGCTTCTTGCGCACGCGACGTTAAATTATAGATAAAGCGGTAGGGCTCTTCTTGAAGAGTATAATCGCGCGTCACAATTAATTATGTTTATTGGAACTCAGATTCTATGGTAAATTATAGACAAGCGGCGGAACGAATGAGTACCATTTCTCGCAAATACAGTGGTGCAACGTGACGTTAACGTGCCTGTAAAACTTAGCATTTTCTCACCGTCGATGTATGTCACTGTGTCAGGTCAGGCAGACGGCGATGAAAAGCACATTCGTAACCGACGCTTTAAATTGGACCGCGTTTTAATAAATTCTGAAGCTTGATTATTCCGAAGCAGCTCCGTTATTCTGAACGAGAATTTACGCAATATGCCACAACCATCAGACGTGGGTGTAGATTGACATTAAGCAGCGCTTTCTTTCGCCAGAACAACAATCTCATTACTATTCCACGCTATTTTTCGTGGGAACGCGATACGATCGGATAGAGTATACGATTAGCTATATATAAAAATCTCGCCGGAATGTGCAACATTCGCGGTAGATAATTCTTCCCACGAAACATCATCTAACAATAATTGAACGTCTAATCGACTTCTCAGATTGAACGTTGTTCGCCAGAACGTTACATCTAGTTGTAAAGTCGAAAAGTCGGAAGCACGCTACCGCTAATAATAATAATAGAAAAAAGATTTTTTTCCTAAAATTATGACGAACATAATGAGAAACAGGAAAGGGATAGAAATGAGACACGAGAACAAGTAGAAACAATATATACTGATGTATTGCGTAACGACTGTTATATTGCTGTAAGGATCGATACTGCTGTCCTATGTACACGTATCACTTCGGATTAGAGGCTAAAGGGGGAGGTGATCCAGAGCTGTCGATATCTAATCGAGCCTCCCTTTAGAATAGATTCGTCTGGCTATGCTGGTCGCGTCGTGAGAGGATCTTGCGGTTCGAAGGTCGTCGGGGTGTGTGCGGCGTAGCTAATATCTTCGGTACGGGTTGGGATTGTACGTCTGCCCGCCGAATCTCTGCTGGTACGGTTGTCGGTCGTACTTCTCGTCATCGGGTCCAGGTGGATTTGCCTCGAGCGCTCTTCTGATAGCTTCCGGAATTGGGGGCGGCGTGGGGATGTGCGCGCCCGTCGCGCGGAAACCGTTCTCGTCAGCCGTGTATTCGATAGTGATTGGGGTGCCGTCGGGCGCGGGGTACGAGTATCTGCCTTGGACCACCTGGGGGATTGATTAGAAAATAGATCACTATTTGTAATATTTAAACATGAGAAGAATCTTTTTATAACTTGATTCAAACAAGATTACAGAACAAGAGTAGTGTTTTGATTCATTTTTTTAAAAGCTCGGGAAAAGTTTTTTATTAAATTGATAAGATTTTTATTAATTTTTCAAGTTCTTAAAAAACTCAATCTGATTGCTCTGTTTGATTGAACTCTAATTGAGGAATTAAAAATAAAAGGAATGAAAATTTTTACCGATGAAAATGTAGAAGAAATGATTTTAACACTTGTTAAAAATATTGGTATTAATAGCATGATGATAATTTTATGATGCAGTGAATAATCTGCCTGAGCAAACTGACTAATAAACGATAGAAGAAAAGAAGCAAAACTTGTTTGAGATTATGACATAGAGATTTGCATGATTACGTAATGCGCATACGTAATTAGGAAAAATAATTTTTGTTACATGTAACATCTGTCATGTATCTTTGAAAAATAAATCTTAAAAATTTAAAAGAAGTTTCTGATACATTTAGTATTTTTTGAGATAAATTTTCTCATGTAAATTTAACTCTAATTTTTCTTATAAAGTTTTTTAACGACATGTTTATAAGAAATGAATTTGAATGATTTTTTTATTGTGATATTGATTGTCAATAATTATCTAATATTATTAAAACGTAGCGCAACATAACAAATATGTTTAAAACTTAAGAATTATAGTAGCAACTAATTGCACAAAGAATTGTGCTGATTTATAGAATTTGAATGGAAATCGCAGTTTAATTTTGAGTGAACATAATTTCATAAAAGTAATGATTGTTACCTCCGTTTGACCCTGAGGTCCGATTTGAGGACGTCCGCTTTCAACAACTGAAATTCCGTTCTCCGTTTCATAACTGTAGCTATAAGATCCGTCCGGTGATGAGTCCTTCTGCTGGCTGCGAATACCTATGAACGGTCTTGAGACAGGTCTGTGGGCAAAAAATCGAAACCGTATTATTTTGCATAGAATTGAATTCTGAACGATATTATATCACATAACACAGAGATTATATCAGCCTTATGTCTTTAGTTATATTTGTTTCTACGTTGACGGATAATTTGCTTGGAACACGCGGAAGCAATAGCAGAAGATAGCTACATTGAAGGATAGTTTTATATACTTATAATTTTTTTTTAAAAAAGACGTATTTTTATAAAATTTGCATTATTATTTATTCCCACACGATTAATGGAATTTCATTATAATTTAGTTTCAAAATTATTAATATAATTTTTAAAATAATTTAATTTAGGTTTTATAATTTATATAAGGACAAACTCTCATACATTTTAACTCGAACGTTTTATAGTTCGTAGATATAATTTTGCAATAATATTGTTGCAAAAGAATTGAAATCTTTCTACGTAAATTTCATACGAGTATTGCTGTTGCGGCTGCGGTTGTGGTTGATATGGTCTCGGTTGTGGCTGATATGGTCTCGGTTGTGGCTGATAAGGCCTCGGTGTTGTTCTGTACGCATTTTGGCCTGGAAAGCCCTGGTACGATCCGAATTGTCCGTAGACGCAGCTAAAGATTGCAAAAGCCAAGATCTGCAACCACATTGATATTTTGATTTGACGATTTAATTCAAATATGTAAAAAATATCTTTTATATTATATATTTATAAATATAAAATATATTTTGTGCAAATTAATACGTTTGCAACTAAAGACTGAACGCAGAGTACCGTCAGTCTGATTTTAAATTGTGAAATCATAAAAACTCGCGTTCACGTTACGTTTCTCGTATTATTATTTGGAAACAACAAACGAGAAAGACAATTCCATTATTTCTATTAATTTTATACATTTAATCAACAACAAGGCGTCACATTTCCCAACATCTGAAGTCATAAACAGCTGTTTAAGTGCTTATTACTTGAAATACTTTCACTGTCCCACCGCGTTCTATGCCATCCCACGCGAAAATCATCGACTGCATTCTTGGCTATCAAAGTGCGAATCTTGTATAAACTGAAAATCGCGCGACAGTCTATAATCGCGTTTCTAAGTCCACCAATATCGCGTAATTTATACGTAACCGCGTTTGTAACCAATATGAACTAAAGAAAGTAGACCACGATGCGAGAAAATCGACGAGAACGTTCGAATATCCAGAGATTCGTCGGTTTCAACTCGAGATAAATCACTCACTAGATACTGCATGATGACGATTGTCGGCAGTTCGTATGCGGCTGTCGATTATGAACGAGATCGAATCTGTGATCCCGTGCCGCGAACGCCGGCATTTATATGAAGACACCCAGAAGGATCTTCCCTTCCCATTCTCCCCGAGTTTCTGGATAGAATCGCACGCTCGTTCGCTCGTTCACGCCGGGAGAGGAGCATTCTCCACCATCGGGGATCCCTTGTCGCCCTCATCGCCCCACCCCCGGCGTGTATGCACGCCGTCATCGGCGCAGCATCTGCAGCCGGAGCGGCTGCTCCTTTCGTGATCGGATTGCCGACATGCCGATGCGCGTCGCCGATCGCGAATCCAATTCGCCGGTGAGCCAATTAGTCATCCGCACACATACGCGAGTCTTATACGCGCGAGTGCCCACGCCAGCTACTGTTTCACCTTAATAGAGTCATTCGTTAACTAACCGAACCTCGTTGCCACTGCGAGAAACAACGATGTGGGTGTCATTGTACGTACACGATGATATTGGATGATAAATATGTAGTACTTCGTGCTATGCATGCTAATAATCCCGATGAAGACGATGCTCATATATTTTTAGCAGCTGGTTACATAGTTGAATTAAACAAGTTTTTGCGATTATCACAACGACGAGATATTTTTTCTTCGACAAAAATGTCATATCAATAATTTTAGTGGAAAATTAGGTGCACGTGACAATTATTGTAGACTTTTTATAATACAACAAAGTTTACGTTTTGGACGATCGTTAAACCAGCACTAAGCAAATTTGCTTGCGCGAGAATACCATGCGGGATCCATAAATAATGCACGAAGCATTCGCGTTCGCAAATGTAAAAGGAACATAGGCGGGAGTTGTGTTCTCCCCGATACTATCGGCGAGTCCCAATAAATTTAAATGTTATGCCGCTCATGACAGTCGTGCTGTTTGTGCGCATTTGCATTATTAAAAGAAATGCGTTACACGTGTAATCTGTGTACGTGAATCCTACGCGAGGCCGCGGACAACGTTGGCCAACAGCGGATGCGACATGCGCCGATTATTCGAAGATCAATCTGTTGAGCGGGCGCGGCGCGATCGGCGACGATGATTTCATTTCTTTTACATTTGTCACATAGCTTTCATACCTCGCGGGGATCCTGAATGTGTAATCGCCGTCGCATTGTCCTCTCTCTCTCTCTCTCTCCGACCGCTTTTAAAACAATTAATAAGCGCTTCTACCTGTCGATCCGCGCATGCATCTAACGCCGCGCCATCGGTGTCTACATCTACGCTCTTGCGTGCGTAACGCAACTGCAAGATAGACAAATCAGAAACAATACACTATAGGATACTCATTCATCCACCTGATTTCGTCACGTTTATCGGGAGCATTACGTAACGGCTGTTACACACCGATATGCCTCGCGAGAAAACAAAGTAAAATCGACGCACTTAAATTCTTTCTCTCTCAACCTTGAGAATTCATCTCTTTTGCAAATGGTATGAACTTTTCACAATTTACCTTCACGATTACAATTCCGAATCACAGTTTACATAAAGTAACATCTCGCGCATGTACAGCTGAGTATTATTATGATTGCAATAATAATTTTGCAATAAATTTGGAAACTATAGACAATTTATGTATGAAGAATGTTTATACTTAAAAAATCTGAATTTTAAATAATGTACATTTATAAATTGTTTGAAGCAATTTTTCCTCGATTTTAATTTTAATCGATAAATTATATAGAAATTCTTTCGTTTCTTATTCACGTCCGTTTAATTTCTTTTTTCCGGGATTAATTTTTCTATCACCTCGAGTCATCCTGTTTTCACACAATCGTCTCATTTCTCTCACATTCGTCGTTTTTCTCATCAAGATCACAGCGTGCAATTGTATTCTTTCAAAGCGTGACCACTCCCAGAACAGAGCGCTTCCATCCGTATAGCGCGACCGCGCGCATAATTCGCTCGCGAAGACGTAATATCCCGCGGGCCGAGGATCCGCGACTCGACTCGGTGCACACGCGATTCACCAGGCCGGCGAATCAATGCACACATAAGGCGAATCGCGGCGTGGCATATTAATGTGATGCATAGTACGATGCATCGCACGATTATTCGCGCGCCGCACAATGTGTTAAAGGCGAGCGATGCCCGCGGAAAATGGCTATTCATCATTTTCCACAGATGATTATCGTCCAGCGGACGCGGCTGAAATGCACGCTATTACTTACCAATTTGTCCTATCGATGCCGCCTGAGAACGGGGGTAAATGTCAACTTATATCACCGCTGAAACCTCTTGCAATCGAGCAATCGGAGTGCGTTTACCGTTTACTTGACTGACACCCGAGACGAGACGTTAATTAATCGGTAAATGACGGACATAAACCCCAAGTCATTAATCAACGGTCGCATCAATAAAATTATAATTGTTTCAGGATAGTGGCTTGTCTTCTATAATTTATTTTATAATAAACGTCTATTTGATCATGACTACAATTTTTTTATTAATTATAGATATTAATTTGATTTAAAAAAAAATTTTTTAACCGATAAAAAAATTAAATATATGTCTCTCTAAGAATCCACATTGTAGAAGATTCAATACGTGATGAGCATTTAATAAATCACGAGTAAGTAAGTGTAATAAATTATGTGCGAGAAGTCATTATACTGAATGAATTATTATTAGTATAAATTTTATTGACACGATTTATCAATCCGTTCATCAATAATCGTAACTGTTAAAATTTCAGAATAATTATTACAACTTTATTGGTATCAAATTATCTAATTAATTAGCAGTTTATTACGTATTTACACATACATTTCTATTTATTCGCTCATTTATATTTTCAAAGCTACTGCAACTGCTTAAAATCGACGAACCTCAAATTAACGTCAAGTTAAAAATTATGTTTATTTTCGCCGCATACTGGCGAATATACAAAGAGCCAAGTAATTCTATAGCGTGCGCCGGTTAGGTTGTGCAATACGTAATATTGCCGAGCAGGAAAAGGAAGATGGAATCCAAGAATCCGCATTGGATTATGCAGCCGGTAATCCTACCCGGTCCTTCGAGCGAGCTAATACGACGTTGTTGCAGAGTAACGCGCGCATAAGGTAAACTTTATTTCCCCCACGAGTTAATACGGCACACGTAAGATAAACTAGACGCTCGAGCCAGTGATTTCCTTATCTGGCGCATACATTGTGGCAAGTAAACGCGTACCTCGCTCGAAATGCCGTCGAGTAAGTGGTATTCACAATTTTCATTAAGCGCTCGCCGGTTAGACGGGAGCCCTCTCGGACGCCGCGCACTTTCGTCATACTTGCATCTGGCACGCCGCGCCGAGTTCGCAAAATCATAAATTTTACGCGCCCCCCCGCTACTCTCGCGCGCGATGATGAATAGCAATCGCAATATCACAGACACTTATCGCTGAATACTAATTTAGCCAACCGTTAAAGTTCTCCGCATTCATCATTTGTTTGCGTTACGCGCGGCAAGGATATTATTTTCCTCGAGATGTTATCTCGAACGTATCTGTTCGTTCTAACGCTTTTAGGGTAGCAACCACGAGTACCTAATGTAAACTTCTTGCAATATTCTGCAATGAATTATCCGACACTAAGAATAAAATTGTGACGTCAAAGATGGGTCAACATGAAGCACGATAAAACCATTTGCATTATTTCGTGATTATCCGCTCGAACTACACGACGATTCTAGACTGCAAATAATTGCAGTATCTTTGCAAATAATTTTATTTTTCACAAACAAACTTGATAAACGTTTGATAGATTTCAGAAGAATTAGCATCGTGTTTTAAAATGATGAAAGACGTCTTCCTGTCTGCGAGCGTTCCCAGATATAATGAGCCATTTAAATCTTCTATTAATCTTGTAAACAGGAAGGCATATCCTGAAAATTGCCGTGTTTTTCGAAGGAAAATAATTTTGCTATTTGTGGGCAAAAATTAATAAACAAAGAATTGCAATTTCTGAATTATCACAATTTGAATGAAAGAACCTAAACATTTATTTACTAAAAATAATTAGATAACTTTGATTTATTCTATATAATGAAGCATTAAGCACACATTAAGATTTAGAGCAAGTTTTGATCGACAACCCGATGTAATCGATACTTTTCGTTTACATTACTTTCTTCAAAGATCGACAAGATTTTCCATTAATTCTTCAAAGATTCTTAATCTCTTTCAAAATGCTCATAAAAAATCGGCCGAAATTTCAGAACGACTTTAAATTCACTTTGTAGATTGTGCAGTAGCCAATAACATAGTAATGTCATCGTGTATTGATCTAGCTTGACCGTGGAGGCGGTGCAACAAGCGTGATTTCAGCGGCGGGCGGAGAATCACGAGGCGCTGTTCGGTTTGCATAATCCTTGGATGGAGGATGCTCGCCTGGGAGGACCCCGCAGGTATGCGCCTCTTCTACCACGCGCGCGAACGCGGACGCTTTGTGAGCCTCGCCGAGATGACGAAGCATACCTAAGCCGACGTGGCTAATAAAACCAGAAAGGTCAGGCCGGGTTCAAGTGAGTCTCGTACTCCCCGAGGCAAGCAGGCCTCAGATCTGGAAACGTCTTGGATAAGAAGGCTCGTGATCGAGGAAGGGGGTCTCTTTTCTACTCCTTCCATCGCGCCGATCCCGATCGATCGATCCCAGAGCTCGGAAGACTCACGGCAACGCCCGAAACCCGCTCGAAATTTTCGAAATCCAATTCCGCTTCGTGATCCATTTGCACTGCGTGATCGTGCACTTCGCAATCCGCGTCTTCCGCGAGCGGGTCGAATCGAGAAGGAGCGAGAGAGACGAATCTTAAAGTACTTAAAGGTCAGTTGATGGACGAGCACTTCCTCCCTCTTGATGAACTTTCTCTCCTTAGGATTTTGTTAATTTTACGCGCGCATATAATTAGCACAAAAATTTCGAAATTTGGAGCGACATTAATATTTCTCAACCTCTTAATGGACTTTTCACGTTTTTTTCGACATTTTTACTGCCGAATTGTTAACACGTCGCAATCACGTTAAATGCAGCAAGCAAATTTGATTCGCGAAGTCTTAATATTCTCGTTCTATCTACAACATAGGAATCCTGCGAAATTATTGGAAAGCAATAAGGACAATTTTCTCAACTTTTTTATTGGCTCCTTTGCGTATCTCTTTCGCTTTTACTTTATAATCACGCTTATTATTATAAGTAATCGCAAGTAATTTGTCAATTTATCTTCAAGTGCAGAAATTGCCCAATAATGTTCTCTAATAATGTGTTTATTACAGCGATTGCAGTAATCATGTATCATTATATCGATCGATCTTTCCCTACGAATCTTTGGCTTCGTTTTCCTTCTTATCGATCTTGTGTCTCAATTGTGTTCGGCGCCTCTTCTTCTGCGTAACAACGCCTTCCCCATATTCCGCCTTTTGCTACAACTTCAAGGTCCCCGGTAAAGAGTATCAAGAAGGGTGAAGTCGCTTCTCGTTTCTCGCGTTAATCCGTCGGAGAGCGCGATACATTATGCCGATGATGTCACGACGTGACTGCGAGGATGTAGTTGGCGCATGACGAGGTGCTTATTAGGGATCGTTTTCTGTCGCGACTAGCCTGATCAATAGCGCGAAGCGAACGAATTGCGAAGCGTGTAGTCGTCGCTGGCATTCGAAGCGTCTCCTTTCTTCGCGCCGTGTTCCATGCCCTTCCTTTCTTTCCGTTATAGATGACGAGCGGCGAAAGGTATTCGTGCCGGGAAACTTCGGATTCGTGTCTAGCTGTCATCACCGAGATTCATCTATCGCGAGGGAATGATTGCCATTCAAAGTAGACACTTTAACCCTCCCCTTCAATTTGTCGTTAATTCTCTGCCTCACGCTTCCGCGTCTATTTTTAGATTTTTATGCAGATTATACGTAGAATATTGTGTAGGTGTAAAATCTCTCTATTTCGTGTCTTTAATGATTTATATTTCATTCGGTTACATTTGTAACATTTTTGTCTCTAATTTTATTTTACCTTGAGTTTGTATAATTATTTATTATCAAGGTAATTTTTAATTCGCATTTCAAAATGTATTTCTGAAAAAATTTATAATTTATTATGCATTTTGTTATTATTGTTATTTGAGAATGTGATAAAATTGAATTTTAAATTGCTAATAAAATAAATGTTTTGGTATTACTTTTAACTACAATATTGAAACAAAAATGCAAAAGCAATTACAAAAATGCACAAAATAAGAAATAATATATACGGGATGTCGTAAAATATTTATAGCTGTCGAATAAAAGAAATTGAACAAAAAATTATTACGAGAGAATAAGAAAACATTACGCAAATCAAAAGTGGAGTATAATAAAAAGTTGTTTTTAATTAAACGCCATATAACTGGTTTTATTAGCGTGTCTTAAGTTTAATTTATATGTTACATCGTATAAAACTCTACAGCTTTTTTACGAGACTTTTTTCCTTAATCACGAATGCATCCGCAAATGAAATAGCCTGTCAACGCTGTTGTTAGAACAATAGCAGCGCGTATTGCTGAGTTCCATTGCGCAAAAGCAACGGCTTCAAACGATCGGCGACAGCGCTGTGATCGCGATTTCTGCGACAAGATACGCCCGGTCCAGAAGTGTCCAATTTCCTTGACCGATATCGCCGATGCGAGACTCGCGCCAAAACGCTTCACGATTGTATGCAAAATATCGATTTCGTGTATCGCGTGTTCTTGCGATATCGGCTACCAAGGGTCCGGTTTACTTCTCCCTACGGTCGATCTTTCGATCGTGGGGATCCAACAACCTCATTGGCGAGCGAGTGACTTGCGTCTCCGCGGCTTGACACGCGAACAGACACGCATCCGTGCATTTTACCGTTGATAACGATGGGAACAATCATGGCTTGCCACAGACCGCTTATAAGTTTATTATTAATAAAGATGTACAATTATAAATTTTGTAATTTTAAATAAAATACATAGAAGCGAGAAATGGAAAAAATTCTCGTCTTACAAGCAACAACTATTTTTCATGACACTTGAATTATTTATATATTTTGAAATTTGAAATTTTGAATTTTGAATTTGATTTTTGAAATTTTGGATTTTCGGAATTTTTTTTATATAAATGAGTTAACTGATACATTATATTTATTAAATAGAGGTTCATTAAATGGAGAACTTTTAAATGATTTACAATTAATTGATAACAATTAACAAGTTGGAACATTCAATGATTTACTTTAATCGAAATCTCTCTATTTATCTATAAATATTTCTCTATCTAAATATTACTCTATTGACTCGCGGAGCATCTCAATATTGCATGGAAGGCGAGAACCTCACGATCTCGATATTTAGAGAAAACGATAGTTTGATACATGTGCGTAATCTTCAACTTGTTATTTGTAGTTATTACATTGTCATAAAACGATAAGAAATAACGTTAAAATATCTGAAAGTGCTTTTATAGTTATCTAACAATAGACATAACAATATCTACACCTGAAAAGTCTACACTAATTAACAAATGTGCCGTTAATTAAAGTGGTTTAAGTAAAAAATTTTTATTTTTTATGATATTTTGACTTTATAGATCAATAGTTTTTTAATTTTTTACTTAGACCACTTTCGTAATCAACGGCACAAATATGAAATTTCAACCACGCTCGCAATGCAACTTACTCATGACTTCACGTACTAGCGAATCCGACTGTTTAGTGATATAACTAACCATTGCCATTAATAACTGTCAGCAGGTAATGACTAGCTATCGACTGTCGATTATAATTTTCAATAATACTTCACCCTTGCGCGTCGCGCACAAATTTACTGTCAAATAGTTCAAATAACCTTTAAGCTTGCATCACTTGCACGATGTGCACGATCTACAATTTACACCCGCGATATCACATAATTTGATACGTCGTCTCGTAAATCGCAATGGGTTTGCCAAATTTGTAGCTTATGTACAGCAATCGCCAGGGCGAATATTGCAATATTTTTTTCGGTAACAGCTAATATTTTAATTAACTTCAGTTAATTACATAAATTTAATAAAACAGCTGACCTTTAAATTAGCTTGCTCGATTGACTTGCAAATACAATTTACGTCTCGACAGAGCTTGTATTATAAACATAGGAGTCTGATTTAATGCGAATGTAACTTGCTAATGCAAGAATTAATAAGAAGTTTAGCGAACGTTTAAAAAAAAACTGATAAAAGACCACGCTTCTAAATCTCATGATTTCGATCGATTTACGATCTTATTTCAAGACTTTATCAAGGCAAGCAAGAAAGTTTGGAGAAGCTAAATTTGATATCCAGTCATTTCATCTCACGAGTGAATCGAGAAATCTTGAGAGATAGACTCACTCGCGCGCGCGTTGTGCAATGAATAGGAGACCGATGATTTGCTTTCACTGACTCACCTTTAACATGATATTACGATTACCATTAACATAAATCCGGATGGCATTTCCACGAGGCCGGTTGGTTCGCCTAAAATTTTACGAAAACAACCGTGCCGCCGTAACGTAATTAACACAATTAAACTATCAGCGCGAAAACATGACCATAATTAATGATTGTTAGAATCAGTACTTTCGCGAAACAGACATACTTAATAGTCGACAACGATTACTGAAACCTGAAATCTATTGTGTGACAAGTAAATTTATTTTCTTAAATGGAATTTTTGTTAGTTGTTAATTAACTTGTTAATTAATTCGAGATAAAGATTACATACGAAATCATAAATTTCCCCAAGAGTCAGCTAGGTTCAGTATGTTGTTCAGCATATATTTTCATGAAGTAAAGCTATTTGATGTTGAATAAATTATTAAACTATCAATCAATTTATATATTCATCCGTCCCACATCTTGAATCTATAAGGATGACTTATTAAAATTGAGAGAGAGAGAGAGAGAGAGAGAGAATTTTGCAATGAGATACACTGCCAGATCAGCAAGCGATTAAAAGAAATAAAAGATAGCAAAATAAAATTTGATCAAAATAAGAAAATATTGCGTGACTCTAAAAAAATCTTTTTTATTCACACCTACAATGAAAAGACTGAAAAAGACGCACTTTCATCGAAATCAAATCCTGAATGCTCTGAAAGGCATTAATTCATTTCTCTCCTCTGAATTTCCTGACGTAACATATTAAGCAATCGAGGTGTGCGATGTAACGCAGCTGGCTAGTAAAAGCTTAGTTATGCAAATTAATCGATGTCACCAGACGACTTTGACTTCGCGTGTAATCTTGAAAAATCACCGAGCAATTTATCGAGCATATGGTCGATCTATAATTTATCTCAATATCGCAACATCGTTTGGAATTCATTTTCCGCTATTACAAGTACATACAAATTATGATGTAGCAAGTTTATCATTCATCGTGTAACAAATATATTAAAGCTTAAAGTTATTATCGCTAAATAGAAAAGTATATATCCTGCGTACTAAAATAATTTATTACTATACAGTAATTATGACCGGTTCGTTAAAAATTGTTAAAGGCATAAGACGAAGACGATCTTTAATCCTTAATGAATATATATATATATATATATATATCTCGATGACGCGTTATAATAATAGGCACATAATTATGATACTCATAATATCTGGATACGCAATGCAATCGCAATTAAACGATTTAATAAAGATAGCCATTAAACATGATACAATACAGCATATATGTGACATGACATATTGTCGCCTAAGCGTCCGCACCGCGATTTCTGATCCTTCTCACCGTCTCCAGTATTTTATACCGAGCGGGAAAAATGGAAAAGCGAGATGCACGAAAGATCGGCGAATCGCGGAATAACGCGGAATCTTGATATATCGCGTCAGTAGATGTAATCTCTTCGTGTTAGGATCAATAAAGCAAAGCGCCATACTTCGTATCCGGCAAATCTTTGAGGGATGTCGTTGATATTAGTCGACTAACACTAAACAGTATAACAGAATTCCGACAGAATTCTTATTCTTCAATTTGCTTTATATAAAGAATTATTTATATACAATTATTCCTTTTTATCTGAAAAGTGGATACCAATTGATAAAATTAATTTTTGTTTCCACAAAATATGCGAAATTTATTGTTTTAATTAACTTTTTACGTAAATCGAATAGTTTATACTGTTTAAGATTAGGGCACGTTCAGACGACGAGCGAAATTATTAAAGACGAGTACAAGTTATTTTCATGTTAATCATCTGTGCATTTTTTAATTGCACGGCGTAATTATTTTGTACAGATCTATTATTCGTAAACTCTATTCTTCTGATTTCATCATTTTACAAATAAAAAAATAATTTAATTTGCAAATTGCATAAACTCTCGAAATATGCCGACGTCTCTCTCGCGGCGAGACATTTTTGTGTAATTCATATTTAAAGTGCTTAAATGTCGTGTGATCGAATGATGTAATAACGCAGAACTTCACTGAACATAACGCTATGAATAGAACACGCAATATACAATAATTCTGTTCAACATATATTTTATTTTATCTCGAACTTTCATAATGTGTCGTGTTATTGGTCGTATCTGTAAATTACAGCATCTTAAGTACAGTTTTATGACTTCTCTCGACACACCTTAATCGCGACTTCTTAAAATATCAGCGCGAAACGAATTATACTTTAATTGGCAATCTCCGTTGCATCAGTCCGTCTTAAATGAAAGAAATGTGTTTCTAAAGGAAAAAAATAATACAGCATTGTAAAATTTTTTATAGCTTACAAGCACATCTGTGTTGGTTGCAATTTTACGATTGTTAAAAATAATTGATTTATCTATTATTTTCTTGTACTCTCTCTTTGCTTGTACTCATCGATTATATTCCCACGTCATATATTGTCTCGCCTAATCGTGCCTCGACTTGCTCGCGCAAAATAGACACACTAGCACTCCTCAACAAATTCGTCATCGATATAACGATCATAGTGCAAGCATGCTCGATCTTCGGAAGTATTTTATCGACACGATAATGTTTAATTTTTTAGTTTTATAATTAATAACCGGCAGGATTGATCATCAGTTTCGAAAAAATCACTCGTTGACGCATAACGATCGAATAATAAGTGATATAGCAAAAGATATCGTCGACATCCGAAAAACGAAGATCGCAACATTGGAATATCGTAGCATTGTCAATATATCGAAGCGTTGAGCAGTCCTAGTGTAGGCACAGTGAGCTCTAGTATCTTCTGTAAGGATCCTCCTCTTCAGGATGAGCCGCGTTGTGCGCCAGGGCGCGTTGTATCGCCAATGGGATCGGCGGCGGTGTCGGCAGGTGAGCGCCGCTCGCCAGGAAGCCGTTCTCGTCGGCCGTGTAAGTAACCACGATCGGCGTGCCGTCCGGAGCCGTGTAACTGTATTGACCTCTGACTGCCTCGATCTGGTGAGGTCCGATGTTCTTCGGCTGCCCCGTTTCCGCTACGGAGATACCGTTCTCCGTGTCGTAGCTGCGATGAAAACAAATTTTGCATGAAATAGTTTTCTTTATTCGAAAGAAAGCATTGAGAATTTAATCAAGTAAGGTAGAAATTTAATTAAGTAAATTCAAAATTAATTTTTTTTCTACCGAAAATGTCGAGTGAGATTATCACTTGTCGCTACTTTTCAATTTTATTGTAATAATATGATTAATAACAGCTTGTTATTCTTACTTCTAAAACTTGAATTATTAAAAACTCTTTATTCTTAAAATTATGTAATTTGGGAGTCGTCAAAGTCTCGACATTTTCAAAATTGAATTTACGATTAAGACGCACTGTTTAGTGGATGTTTAGTAATGGAAGAAGATCTACTTCAGCTTGATTCGATTCTAAAGATACATTGTACAAATATAATTTCACAGAATGTGCAAATTTAGTTAAAATAATCAAATTCGAGTATTGAACATTCGTCTTGACATCGACTGTACAATTAACACACTTTCTTCGCATCCGCTTTCGCACTGAGCTGCTACTGGAAAAGCCAGTCGGAGAAAAGTACTACGCACCACCTTCGAGATACTAGGTGGAGTCTGATCGAGTCTTCGTGTCCCAGAGACAGGTGTAACGGGAGGGGCACGAGTTAGGTGCAAACTCCAGGGCATTGAGGATGGGTAAGGACGGGTGAGTGCGTAGGCAGGCAGGCAGGCAGGTAAAGGTAGGCAGGTAGGTCGATTGTAATTGTTCAATTGCGCAATGTATTATTGCGAGCTGCGCAGCCGAGAGCGGTGCGCGTACGATTAACATCAAAGCCAATTATGCATCCTTCCTTCGGCCGTCCCGCGTCAAGGAAGGTTGACGGTTTTTTTCGCGATTCCGATCGAGGCCTTAAACGGCGCCTGACGAATCGCCGCAGGTGGCTTGACCCGCGAGCGAATGGCCCGCGACCTCGGCACGCCTGGCCGATTATCTCGAATAACACGTTCTGAAACTCGTGCGGAGCTAGAAAGCGTCGCGAGACACAATTGATTATTACGGAGGTACGAATCGTCGCGGCTCGTCGCGGAACTATTTGTGCAAAGTGAGGGCTACTGAATTGAATTGGGGTGCACTGGGTCACCGAGGCACGAATGTCAGTAATGCGGAATGAGTGTCGTAACGATAATCGCGGGTTTCTAATTTCAAAGTCGATTGTTGCGCTCATGCTAATTGCGTGCGAGATGCGTCATGCAGGTTCACCGTGATTTTAATATCACACTGCGAGACGACTAAAGACGGATCGCATCATCCAACAGATAATTCGATAATCGCCGACCCGCAATCTCGTGTTCGACTAATTATAGCGAATCATGCGATCTGTGTTAGAAAGTCAGAGCGTGGTAAAAATATTTCGACACTTCTTCGCGACGATCCACTTTTCTTGCCGTCTCTCCTGTAGAATTTTAAATAATTATTGGTGTCGTACAACCGGATGATTATACGATATCATAATATAACTTTATAAGCTAGTCGCGGAACTAACGTAATAATTATCCATGTTCACGTTTCATACAAATTTCTGTAGAAATTTCGGATTACGCTGTAAGCCTGTAATAATCGTCATTAGAATTATGACTAATCGCTTAACGCGCAACTCATCACCACTCTATTCATTTAAATAAATGAATAAATAAATATTCAACATTCTCATGTCGTTGAACCAAAATAAAGTGTTAGTTTTAATCAGCTAGCTTTTCTCTTCTCTCTGTGTAATAATATTATTTTTCTCAATGCAATACGTAATCAACTCTTTTACTGTCAATAATGAGCAGATTTTTCTACAGAAATTTGTTTTTTAATTTTGAATATATAATTCTCTTAATTTGAATATACAATTCTATTTTTTCATAAATTGAGATATTATACATGCGAGAGGCGGCAATAAAATTAATTATTTATGAGTTTAAAACATGTTTTTGGATAATTTCATATTCTTGGAATGTAAAAAATAAAAAAACAAGTTGAAATAACTAAAACGCCGTTATTATATATTAAAAATAAGTTTCACAAAATTGCTAACACACGATTGCATCACACACGAAAACATTCACAAATTTGCGATACACGTGTGATTGCTACACAAGTCCGCAAATCTTGACGTACGTCTAATTACGGTTAATAGGATATACCGTATGCAGAAACATTTCCGAGCAATCATGCAAGACTACCGGCCTTCCCTTTCATTCAAATTTTCTTTCCCTTCATTCGAGCGCTATCTCGGCGGATCCGAAAATTACTTGGGTGGGCGGGCAATAAAAATAATGGGAAGCCTGACTAACGAATGTTGCACAAGCACGATCGACATAATTGCAACGTTCAATCTCCTTTTTTAGCTGGTAAAAGTATGCCGGCGTTGTTGAGATTGAAAAATAGTAGCTGAACAATGCTTATATAGATTCGTATTGCTGATGACCGATCCCCCCCCCCCCCAATGCATCCCACATCTTTTCAAACAATCATATCGATTCTTTCCGATCAACTGCGAACAACGTAATCCTCAACGTAATGCTGGAAATAAAGCTCTCTCAATTTATTTGCATGTCTGAATTTAATTCGTAACTCAGTTATTCGCGTCTTTCATCATTTTTAGCTCAAAAGCTGTCAGCGAAAGTGAGCAGAAGTCCTGCTTTAAAAATATTAATTGATCCTAACGCTTTATCAATAACCGATGGACCACTAATTAACTTTGAAACATTTTATAAGATAAAAGATTTTATTGAACTTTTTTTGGCAAGTCTTTTTATTTGTGGTTTTTCTAACTATCTCTCACGAAAAAAAACACAGAAAATCGATTGATATAGCTTATAGAAACTTATTGACAAATAATATAGAAGTTTTCTATTCACCAGACGCGTCACCATATTCTTGCATTTCCGGTGCATTAACCACACTTCCTTCCTGCCTATTAATCACTCCTCGATGAAGACGATGGAGGAAAGAAAAAAAGAACCTGGCAATCACGCCGAGCGTGTTAGCTTCGCGATTACATCGACCAAACGGCGCGAGCGTGTTTTCATACGAGTTCGAGGGCAACCGCGCTTCCTCGACCGTGTCGAGATCGTTCTCTCGGCGAAGACGTACGGACGCCTCGGCGCCGCTTATCAATGCGCGCCGCTCGGCACTTGAAGTGACGGAGGACGATCTCACCTGTAGGAGTACGATCCGTCCGGCGCGGAGTCTTGTCTCTGTCGCAGAATAGCGTAGTAAGGGCGGCCGTAGTAGTTGGGATTGTAGTACTGCGGAGTCGTAAACCTCTGCGCGCACGCCATCATCGTCAGACCGAGCAGCAATATCTGCAAAATAATTATTAATATAACGTCGGATGAAGATTGACGTACTTTTGTATTAAGCAAAGCTTCCTAACTCGAATATAGCATATATAATATGTAGCAATTACTCTTTTTTTTTAACAGCCAGAAGATTTCCCTCTACTTGAGAAAGTCTATAATTACAGTGATAGCTTCTCTCTCTCTCTTTCTCACACGAATTATTACATATTTAATATTAATGTTTGAATATTATGAGTCTCCAATTATTTACATAATATTTCTTTAAAAAGAAAAAAACTTTAATTAAGTAATCTTCTGTGGTTGTTAACGGGGGCTGCAATGAAATATCTTGATAACGACTATTAAGTAATTAATAGTTGAGTTAGCCGTTAATGATACGCGCTTTTTTTGATATGTTATAAAAGAGAGGAAATATTGCAATTGCAAAACGCAAGTGTTATTTTGCACTTATACTCGAAATAGTCAGCTATTATTTGCTATTATATATTAGCACAGCGAACGCTGGCGGATTCAACGGCGGGAATTATATAATCCTGCGTCTTACTCATGCAAAAGGGCTGACTAAATAGGCAGGTAGGTTGAAATGGGTAGGCAGTTCGGCACGCAGAAGATTTTCGATTCACCGCGAGTCCCGGCGCGGTTATGAATAATCATACGTATTTGCCACGCGTCATAATTCTCGTCTCACGCTCGTCGCAGACTTCCTCCATTGTGTGTTGAAAATCGAGGAGAGTCAAGTGATTTGCAACACAACACGCGTAACATTTTTCACGCGAGTTAACGAGACAAAAATAATAATAATGCGCACGAGAACACAGATTCGTGTAATAACGCACGTGTAAAAGATAAATGTCGCGCTCTCGGTGCATTTCATTAACCATCGGTCGCACGATGTGATGTGATTGCGAGATAATATTTACACGACACGAATCGGAATACATGCGATATCACATCACAGTTGTAACGAACAATCGCGAACTCGTCGTCATTCTTCCAAGAATATTAGTTGCTATTTTTGCACATCGAGCGGAAATGATGAAATTAATACCGATAAAATCGTCTTCGTTCGTAGAAACTTTTCTGATGCGAATAAAATACGAATTTTATTCAATTCGCACGATTGGATAGCCGATCATTTGCCGATTGTGACGATTATCAAACCTTATCCGACAATCGGGTTGCGATCGTAAAATCTCTGCATCTAATTGCCACGATTTCGTCATTTTTGATGAAATTTTTAATCAACGGTGTAGAATAGTTTAATAAAGCAAAAATTTTTATAAAATTAATATAAACTGTTGCTTATTATATTATATTTTTATTATATAAATGTCACATGGAAGTATCATAAAATTTGTTTACAGATTTATCGTACTTAATTCACTTTCGGTCAGATGTAAAAAAAAACTCGTTAACATTAATTCCAATTTTTCCACTGAATTAAAAAAAGAATTGATAGTATCAAACAGGAAAAGAACAGATGTTGTTTTAGCCAACTTTATGGAACTTTTATATCAAACTTGACAGTCAAATGAAAACTCGAATCCAATTTTGTTGCAACCAATATCTTAATTCTTTTTTTTCTTTGACATTATTTAAAAGAAAAATCACTACATCACGGCCAGAATTCATCGAGAATTTGAATTAAAAAAAAAACTTAGGCGGTGCTGTTAAATTTAATTAGAACAACGCAATTACAAATTAGAAATGCAACCAATTAAAACTATTAATTGTCTAGCTTATTGTAATTAATCGCGAATCGATCGAGCGCGCAGATATATTAAGAAGTAACACTCACGAGGATTTTCATGTTGTTCGACGTATTATTCCGGAAGTCAACCAGACGAATGTTCGATTATTGTCGGCGATTTTGGCGTACACTCTCGTGCCAGCGAATAGATCACACTGCGTGCTAGGCACACTCGAATCTCCCGAAAAGTCACGTACGAGACTCTCGTGCTAACTGCAGTTAGAAATACGGAGCTTACGTGGGTCATGGTGAGGCTTTATAGTCGCCGAGACGCTCTGCTTGTGCCCCCTTTTTGCCCCGCCATCGGCAGTTTTCCGGAGGCCGAAGGGGAGAATCAATCTTGGACGTTCTCGCGTAATCCGCCAACTGAGCAAAGGGTGGTGGATGATGGTCGTGGCTTTCTGGTTAGACGATAGGTAGGTGGCAACCGGTCGGTCCCCCTCGCGGTCCATCTCGCGCGCGGCTCATCGTGTGTCTCCCGCGTATCCGCGTGCGCATCTGCGCCCACGCATGATCCTCCGTAAATATGTGTCTATAATCTGACAAGCTCGTTAGAGAGATTGCACACGCGAGTATGCGTTGCACTCGCGAAATAAATGTGGACCACAAAATAGTTACAAGTTGGAAGTACATCTTTATAGTAAATAAAATCTCTTAGCAAATTTTTTTACTACAAAATATAAAATTTATATAATACTGTGATATAACAATATATTTCCGAGTACAGAAAAGAATAATTTTAGACGTACATAGTCATTTAGGAAGGATAAAATCTTGAAAGTCGCATATAGAATGTAGAATAAGATAATACTGTATTGTTTCGAATATGTTTATGTCAACTACACGCATTTTGCAATGCTACCCAGCTCTAGCTTAAGTCTTCTCACATATATTAAGTATGCATGCGCAATGTGTCGCTTATTAGCTGTTATTTATATCTCACGCTTAACATTACGCGTTTGCTCACGGCTGCAAATGCATCATGTGTGTATGTATATCACTCGCATCGCTTGAAAGTCAGGATGCTTAAGCGCGTGCCATTTTGCATAAATTGAATTTGCTACGTGCGTATTAAGATTTTTCTTTCGCCAAGAAACCGTACCGTACTTGCGTGATGCATTTACATGCTATATACTTATGTCATCGCGCGAGAAGTACAACGTTTCAATGTTTCCAGTTTTTACATCTTATTGCACTTTCTCGTATACGTGAACAATAATAAGCGTCAATAATGAGATATAATAGTACAACAATAATATCAATAACGTATCAAGATTTATCTTATCTAAAACCAGATGTCTGCGTTTTAATCGCTACACCTTTCATGTATGCCAGCTTATACATTTAGCTACAGAACAAGAAATCTGCGTAAAATATTAAAATTAATCCCGAAATTTAAATTAAATCTCGAAACTTCTTGTACCACACAATTTATTTAGATAAAATTTAAATATTAAAGCACGATGGTAATGATATGCTATCACGCATGTGATTAATTCTACATTGATTAGAATATATTTTTATTCTACATCTAATTAGAATATATTTTTTACTTCTACATCTAATTAGAATATATTTTACACAACGTGTACATCCGCATCGCAAACAGCATCTAATTAGACTAATTTTTCACTCGCAAAGTTATTCTTGTTCAATGTAATGCATTCAAGATTCATCTATGTGCGCGCTCGTCTATATAGTGTACATATTATGTATCCGCGATGAGGTCGAGCTTAACGATGATACGTACTTGTCTCGTCTAGGAGAACCATTATTAGATACTTCGCGCGCGCGTCTCGTAACTCGATGCGGGATTCAGATCGCCGCCGTCGGATTCGCCACGGATCATCGCAGGGCGTATTCCTTTCACTACATCGAGCCGATGCAACGCGATTCGCTGTGCCGCGCATCGCCGATTCTTGCGACATATTCCAGGCGGAACACCGCGGCACATCCTTCGGTCCTTCGATCGATTAGGATCTCGCGAAATACCTCGTGAGTTCACTTGTACATACCCAGTATATAGGATATCGAATGTTTACTGGGGATATACGCTGATGTAGATACATTTATAGATATTCGTGTATATATATATAGCGAATAAGCTAATGACTGAATACTGTTTTTGTAATGTTTTTGGAATTTGTTGCAACATTTCTGTGACATTTTATATTTACATTTATGAATATTGTGATGTCACTGTGACATTATCAGAAAGTTACAGTGATATCATTAATTACAGTCGTGGTGATATCATCATAATATCACAGAAATATTACAACAAATTCCAAAAACATTACAAAAACAGTATTCACTCATTAGCTCATTCGCTATATATATATTTATATATATATACGAATATCCATATATGTATATACGTAGGACGTACATAGAATGTCTTAATGTTTATTGGATAGTTCACTTGCGATTTTTCCAAATTGTTTTAAGTTTCTTGGTTTTTTATTGCAGTAATATTGAACATTAAAAATAAAATTATATAAATTTTTTACAGTTTTTTTTTATATATTATGCATTTTTGTATATTACTGCTAAAATAAAATTCGCGATATATCTTTGTAACTGCTAAAATTTAATAATGATATTAATAAAGCAAAAAATACGTACAATTTTTATCACGAATTAAACGTTAATTATAATATAATAATTTATTGTAATCACAAATTACATTATAATTTTTATTAAACATTATAATATTTATTTAATTGCAAGATTCGTGATTTTTTTCTTGAAAACGATGATTGATTTGATATTAGAATGTTAGATTTATATATATATAGTTTGTGCATATCATTATAATGTCCCTGCCAAAAGTGGGTCGTATCCAACCCTTTCTATTTCGTAAAAGGGAAAAGATGTTAAAATGAAGTAACCAATAAGAAAAGAATTATAACATAATTACACGTTTGTTCTGCATTCATCGAAGATCTCACGGATAAATAGTGCGTGGGTATCTTAGGACTGAATATAAATGCATAACTAATAAATAATTATAAGAAAATAATTGCTTATAAATATTTCATGCGTGATTTCTACAATGCGCCGTCGATAATCGACGATATTATTATGCAAAAAAGTTGATGTGCTTCCTTTTGCAACCGATTAATTAAAGAGCAATACGGTATATAATAATAATCTTCTTAAAAACAAAAGTGTATTAATTACATTTATAATATTAGATCTATTTTTAACAAATAATATATACGATTATCTCTCGATTATTGATTAATTCGGCATTTATTTATAATACGCATATAATCAAAGAACAAATTGATTAACAAATGTACCTACATCTCAAACAAGCTAAAAGCGAGATACAGTAAGATCGTGGCGAATCTTTATGGCATTTCTCGCACACGAACATGTAACAGCATATTCTTATCTATCTTTAACTTGTTAGTATCTCTTTTTTTGCCTTGTGAATAATCCGAGCTATCTCCTAGTTGCGCGAATTATCAAAGAAGGGCAGAAAGGGCAACATAGAAACGCCGCAAATAAATCGTGAACAAAAGATACGGGAGAAATTATGACAAGCGCGAGACGACGGCAACTAGGATGCGCCGGTGCCGCGCGTTTGACAGGTGGTATTTAAACTAGGATCAGTGGCAAAGAATTCCACATACATTCGTATTTTCCAAACACGTTAGTAATGATGATATTTACGAGTTTCGCCACTAATCTCACCACTGGATTGTAATACAAGCACACGTGGGTGTAATAGAGACAACGGTACGTACAAATGTACAAGACGTAGCCCCGCGGGACTGTTAGCTCTTTTATCAGCGATAAAGGATCTAATTGTACGTGGCGCGAGACATCGACGGAGACATAAATGTCTACGGAACGTAGGCGAATCCGCGGAATTGTAAACGCTCTGTTCACGTTTTCTGCGAAATTCGAGAAAATTTTGCAATTATTCATGCATTCTGCAAATATTTTATATAAATCATTACGATAATAATAATAAATCTTCTTTCTGATTTTGTTGAAAGACTTCAGTATGTCAAACACATATGTAAACAAATAGCAAATATTACAATTAATAGAATCAAAATTCTTAGAAATGTTATTTCAAATTTTAATGTCCAGATTAATTATTAATTTCTATTTGAAATTAAAATTTTACATTCTTAAGCAGTCTTTAATGTTAACATTTATCTTTTGTGTGAAAGATGAATTCTAAACATACATTTGCGCTTAGAAAATAACATGTTTCAATCATTTTAAATCATCAATTATACATGGCCTGCTAATTCAAACTGCAATAAGTGTAGAGCTGTCATACGCCGCATTCTAGGGCAATCCCGAGGAAACAATGACGGCCTTTTTAAGCTCGAACATATCTAGGATTGAATCCTATCGTACACTGACGCTGTACGAACCCACCCTTTCTTTTGTCTCTGTGCTTAGCATTCTGCGAGCGAGAATCGTTGCATTGTTTGATGTGCCACGAAGAGGATTACGCTTGCAATAAACTCTGTAAATTACGGCATCGACCTCACGTCAATAAAACAATTTGTATCTCCGTGGAATGGGACACGCATCTCCATCAATTTGCGTTTCGCAAATGAATGCACTCTTCATCTGTGGATTGATGGAAAAATTCGCGATTTTTACTGCACCGCGATATTTCACCGTATAAAAAGATTTAAGATATATTTTGCAAAAAGATGTCAATACATTACTGTTGAAGAAGAAAAAAGAATTATTTTTTTGCTAAAGACGCTATCGTTTTAATCAGCAGTTTATGTGAATCTGAGTAAAAGTTTTACGAGAGTGAAACGTAATGTCGCGCTCATTAAATTCTTATAAAATTTCATTACGAAAGATGTGTCTGACATTTGGTTTGTCGAGCGAGACATCGGGCGGAGTCCAATCGGGACATTTCGACAACGCGCTCATATTCGCGATACACGGCGCGCCTTTTCCTCGCCTAACTCTGGCCCGAGAGCGTGCAGAAAGGTGTTACCGGAGAGCGTCTCGACAAAAAGGCGGCGCCTTGACATTAAAAACTGCTCTACCCGCGAGAAACGTCGTGTTTATTGTTGGCGGCGCCGGGGACGGGCCGGGCCCCGAAGAACGAGAGATGTAACGCCGAAGGAGAATAACCTGCCAGTTATGCCGCTGCGGGGTTACCCAAGAAGAGGCAGCCCGCCTTCGGATTTGCATCGTTCGTGGAATCTCTAATTCCTGAAAGGGACACGAGCCCGAAACACCATCGCGCCGCACGTGGCGCGCAGCATCTCTATCAAGCACGAAATCTTAGAGAGCCTCGTTGCGCCACACCACGGTTCTCTTCCATTGGGCATGGTCGGTCCACTTTACGAATCTTTAACCTCGATCTATCTAATTAAATTTCTGCTTGCGCTAAGCGCGATTGAGAGTTTAAACATAAAACTCTTTAGAATGCAGGATGGAATCCACGAAACTTGATTTTAATTTTAGAATAACTTTGGAAGAGATTTATGTCTTTGATCAGCCACGCGTAAAGTTTCGTGGATTTTGCAATAAATTTTAAGAATAAACCGTATGGGAGCACGGTATACGTAATCCGACGAGACCGGAGGATAGAACAAGACGTAACCTGCCAGTTATGCCGCGCAGGGTTACTCAAGAAGTGTATGGTAATCCGCCCTCGGATCTGCATTTGTTCGCTCGATGTACTGACTTAAAACGCTATTATGCGCTATTTTTCCCTGAACAATTGCAGGAACCTATCCTCGATGCTCGTATACCTGATAATTCTAGTCATCTTATACACTGTTTGCAATCGCTATTTCAAGCGCATTCGAGCTAATCCAAATGGGATCCGCGAATCGCATCCGTTAATCCTATTGCTAACAATAGAAATATTGGGAATTATGAGACTTGTTTAACTCGCGTCCCTTTTCATCAATGACTCTGATTTGAAATTAAAAATTATTAAACTATTATCTATTCTATTCTCATTTATTTTATTCTACGCAAATTAATCATAAATCAATTATTCTAAATTAATTTTAAATTTATTATTTTTTTTGAAAATTGTGTTACAATTTTATAGATACATAACAGCTAATTATTGAGCTACATATTGCGCAAAATTAATCTCTCTTCCGACTCGGACGTGAGGCCGTTATCGTGACGTCCAATATTTATAATGCAACATAATGAAGTATAATCATGTAATAACGTCTGTAGTAACGGCGCAAATTCGCGCCTGTCGTTGAAGAAAGGCACATCCTAATATATAATCCGCCCTCGATACGATCTCCAATTACCGCTACAAGATCGTAACCCTTCTCTTTCCCGTTCGCGAGGGGTTTCGCCTAGATCACTCGCAAATCTTCCTTCGTGAATCCTTCAGCTTGCTGTTATGAAATGAGCCATCCATTAACAGGATGAGATACTTCGAGATATTTTTTTACAAAAAAAAAGCGGTGGTTTACTCGAACGTGCGCGTTTCAATGCGCTTATGTAAATGCGCTTTGTGGTTTTGCAATGCAAACTGACAGATCTCAAGCCATAATTAATCCGTATACTGGAAACACAACGTATCTTTAATATAAATAGTTTCAAGCAAACGCGTGCTCTTTAGATAAATTTACGACGCTTAAAAGAATAGAATTATTTTACACAACATGTTGGAATAACATATTTGCTTGTAAATTATATGTAAATTAATTTAAAAATTAATTAAAAATTCTTGGTTCTTATATTTATTATTTTTATCAAACGATCTTTTTGAAGAATTGCACGATCTAATTTATTTAAACACATCTCAGTGACATTAAAGCGAAACTCAATGCGATACCATTGTAATCGATCAAATCGAGTATTAATAAGAATGGGATGCAAACGACCACGTTTATCGATCCCATAATTTTCCGCTCATAAGCAAATAATGCCCCAATTATATGCAGGCGTTTCTCGACGGGATCGATTCGCTCGGCGTGATCTCTCGATATATTCTTTTCGATACGGCCGCATCGCAACGCGCCATCGTGAATTTTCTTTTTCTCTCCGCATCGCGCAGCGCACTGTATCACGGTGCATCGCGCACATCTTCGCCCACCGATATATGTCTTTACCTATTCCCGCGGTCGTGCCTATCAGGACCGCCCACTGAGGATCCAGCGATTAGAGAAACGCGCGCGCGAGAGAGAACGACTAGGGAATTCCTCTCCTCGCGAGCCTCCAAGCCAGGCTTATTATTGCCAATCACTTTTGTTCCCGCGAGAGAATCTCAGAAACCGACTAGCTCGATCGTTTGCTCTCGGAAAAAATAAACGTTCCGCACTTCGTTAATTAACACATTGCGCTGGGCGAGCATCGGTTAATTGCGACAGTATGGCGGCAGTAACGCGACCTTTCGAAATTAGTCGCGGTTAAATATACTAATTAATAATTACAGATATCGATTGTGCAAGCGCGTAAGTTTGCCGGATGTTTTTGATTTTTAAAGTTAAATAGAATAATGAAGGTAGAAACAACGATAATAATTAATAGAGCAAATTTCGCAATAATAAACTAATAACAATTATAGGTTCGTTAAAAGTAAACTCTTTATTAACAATTTACTAACGTATGTAATATTTAATTATTTGTTAGACAAATAACATTTATTTTCTCCTCAACGCGATTATTTTTTTAACTAAAAAAATTATTCGATTATTAATTATCGACTCTTTACTCAATATCGATATGATTTGCATGTTACGCTCGTGCAACGTGTTGCTGATCGAGATAACGAGCGGGATAAGAATCTCAGTGGATGATTTCTCACATTTGCGTGTCTATCATAAGACGTCACGCGGGAAACGGGGGGAAATTATCGGTCCTTGCCATCTTACCATACTCTACGCAATGTTAAGCCGATGCAATGGTCAGTAGGCGCGAAAAATCGTTGCCACTGATTATTGGCGAACGGTGCACATTGTGATAATTGTGAGATTTCCTAGGAAACATCTGCCACGTTGATTGAAATGATGCCGCGATACGGCCGAGGGAATTCACCGAGAATTTCATTATATCGCGCTTGAAAATTACATTTTAATCGTCGGATCGGCGTTAATCAACGCTGATTGCGCTCTTCAGGACAATAAACGATGGCTGTTGTATAAACGATACCATTATAATTAGTTATGCTACTTCTACTATCAAAGATCATGAAAATTGCCTATTACGGGATAAAATTTTCAAAATTTTGATATTAATATTTTTTTATCAAATACTATTATTGAGCGTTTTATCGAAAATTTTAATTTAATTCCCCAATGTATTTTTAACAAATTCCGTTCAAACGTGACACAATGTAGCATTCAACGCACAATGTAACTTGATGTGATATTTATTCATTTTAACTGCGTAACAATGTGGATACTAAACAATTATTTATCGACCGCATAATACAATACTCTAGCCTTGATATTATTAATTTCGGGCGATAATAGATTTTGCCGTCATTCTCTCAATAGTATTAATATTTATCACTGCCGCCCACATCTTTTCCTTCATATCGCGGATCTTCTACGTTCTTCGGTCTTGATTCCAAGGAAATCATGTTGCGATACGCAAAATACAACATTAATTCTTAAAAAAAAATAACTTCCCGACAGCAAACATTTTTTTTCTCAGCATAGATGACATGAAAGATTCTTTCTTTCACCTGGTTCCAAGCATCCGTAAATCATTTCTGCCGGCTCTCCCTTTACAAATAGAAACTCCGATCCATTGGTCGTGTCGTCGAAATTACCAAACCGGCGATATAACCACGGTTATATTCGTTGCGTAAGAATAAATGCCAGGGTCTCTCACAGAAATATCCGGCGCGCACACGTAAAAAGAAATCGTAAAGTATACTGTTTTTTCTATAGATTCCGCAAAATCTACCGTGTCACGTGGCTGCGATTTAGAAGACTGAGATGTCATGAATTAAAAGTAGCGTGTCCGCGCGAAGAATGCGACAAACCGGTTAGCGTGCAAAAAATCGAATCAAAATTCGATTAACTTTTCAAAAATCTGTTCTTTCTTATGACGCGTTACACTTTTATGACTAAATACAAAAAAAACAAAGTATCTCTATTCTGGATTATTTGAATTATCTTGAATCCAGATAAAGGCAGTCGTAAAATACTTTGTACAATTTATACGTATTTAATTCTTTAAATATATCAATTAATTTCTGTCGTCTTTTAGAAAGTGTAAACGAAGTTTGAAGTTTTTTTTTGGATGCGATGGTTGTTAAATAAGTACACTTGATGATTCTTTTTTTTCTTAAGAAATAATTGCATTTATATTAAGAAAAACCTATATCTACACTTCGTTGCTTGAGAGGTATACACCTTGTCCGGAGATGTTGCTAAATGTCATCGATTATTTATTTCTGGTTATCGTGTTGTGGGTGGGTCAAGACCCAGTTGACGGCCCTCTGGATCTGCTCAGGTACGGGGGGAGCGACCGGCAAGTGAACACCCTGTGGGTGGAAGCCATTCTCGTCGGCAGTGTATTGGACGACGATCGGGGTGCCATCAGGAGCCGTGTACTGGAATTGGCCTTGTGCGACTACCGCGTGTTCGCCCTTGGGTCCTACAGGCTGCGGCGAGCCCTGCTCGGAAACAGCGATGCCGTGTTCGGTCTCATAGCCGTAGCTGTAAGATCCTTCGGGCGAGATGTCTTGCGCTTGTCTCAGGATTTGTATCGGTTGCACAGCGGCCATGGCGCCGGCGACTAGAGCCAAAGCTATAATCTGAAACTGTAATTGTACGCGATTGAGGCAAACGAAATGAAAATTACTCGTTAAGATTGCGGAAAAATACGAGCGCAAGTGTCGGGTGCTAATAATAAAGCAGAAATAAAAATCTTTATTGATGAGTTAGAACGTTAATCTTGTTATATTTGAATACAGCAATCTCTTGAGTCACAAAATGTAGATATAGTTTTGTTAATATAACAATAGAGATTTAAAAAAAGAAAAATTATTAGTTTTACTAATTGTAGAAAATAATTATGATAGTAGAAAGAATATGAATTCTAAAAATTAATATGTATTGTGATTGAAACTTTGTTAAACGAATGCAGCAATTTATAGCGGAAGTATTATCATGATTGGATTATATTATCGAGTCATAAGCGTATTAAGAGTGTGTTAATTAAATAACAGATTTGTGTTATAAGAGTCAACGGCATTATGCACTGATTATATAAAATGTAATTGGCCGGAAAGTACAAAAAACAAAAAATTGCTGTGTAATGTTGCACGCTGCAAAAAAAATTACAGGTTTCGTAGCGGATCCGTGAAAAAGATGAGATATCATCGAAGTGTTAAATAATCTTGAGATTAAACGAATTAATACATGACGCATTATTAAAGATCCGACATTTCTCAATACGAGTTTCATTGTTAATTTGTGGCATTTGATATTTCATTGCGGTTATTACAGTACTCTATTCTTCTTTTGATAAATTAGACAGATATTAATGAGATCATAGGATTATAACAAGCTATTGTTTGCGATATGCCGGAAAAGATCAAAGCAAATGGAAAAACCCGAGAAAATATTATTCTCAGCGAATAATTAACGTTAATAAATAAAAAAAGAATCAATAAAAAAGTTCGAAAATTTGTATCTTAATTATGCGTATTTATATAAATATTAATTAAAATTAAGCTAGTTCAAAATTTACATAAATTTACATAAATTTTGAAGATTTAAAGTGTTTCTAAAAAACCAATTGAACTTTGATTTATCTTTAATAATCTAAATGTTAATTTTTGGATGGATTTGCTTGTTAATGGAAGACAGAGTGAAGCTGAAGTAAAAATAAATTAAAGATGAAGATAAATAAATTACTCACAAGGAATTTCATTTTGTCGTGCTCGAATCTGGTTGATCCAATGGAGCGTGATGAGATTTCGAGTGTGATATCCATGAGATCCGAATGCGCTTTTATATTGTAGACCCCACTTTCCCTGATTCGCAATGATACACGAAAACGACAAAAAGCCTGGGTTTCGTGCCCATAGGAAGGACAAGGAGAAAGAGGGAGAAGCACGGCTAAAATAGAATCTTTTGCCAAAAGTTGACTTGACCTTTCCGCGCATCACTTAAATCGGTCGGTGTTACATAACTCGTCGAGAAACCGGTTGGCATTGCATTGCTTGTGCAGGTCCTCAAGAGTATACAGAGCACGCGACATTCGCGCGCAAAACGGCAATGCGAACGAAGCGAATTTCAACAATGATAGCGCCTCGAGCACACATTGCCATTTAGAAAGTGGCGTCAGCGATGAAATACCGTTTTATGAATTTGAAAATCCAGATATTTTTTTAAATACATTCCAATTCCTAATTGAGCACAGTGAGAAGCATCTGCGACTTCACACGAGCGAAGCTTGTCGATTTAGATCGATCGCTTATGGATTATAAGAATAAAAAGAGGTCTCTGTTAGATAAATACCGCCTATTATTTCGCTGCTCAGATATCCATGAGATTTGCATAACTCTGAAAAATTCCAGGACAGATCATTCTTTGAGGAGATCTCGTTTGCGAAACAAACGCACTGATCGCGTGTACACCTTTGTTGCCATCTCGATAAACCTAGACACGTTATATTGCTCGAGGAAATGAGAAGGAAATGCGCTCCGCTGCTCTATGATTTACAAATTGTTCGCGAATCGTTACTAAATCGTATTTTATGCTTTACGAATCTCTCTAGCTTGAAATTTTTAATAAAGAATAAACTCTTTATTATAATAGATAATAAATATACATTTGAAATTAAATTCATCAAACTATGTTTGCATCTACGCAAATCATATACGTTTAATATCAATTAGCATGAAAAATTAACACGTTACATTCTTTCGAAACAAAGTTATTAAGAAAGATTGATTTTAAATTAATTAGGAGAAACTAAAAGCAAGTTGCTAATTTTAAAAACATATTTATATCGTAACAGACAATAAAAAGTTGCAAAAGTATTAAGTGATGGCATATTATAGCAGTAAAATTAAGGCGCGACACTCTGAGTCATAAAATCATAATCAAGAGTGATTAATCATAGGAGGAGACGCATTAACAGAAGCCACGTGAGTCTTTAACACCCAATCGTACTTTCTCTCCCCCTGTACTCTTCTTCGTCGGCGACTCCTCCCATTAGCTATTTACACGTATTCGAGCGAAACTCGTGTAAATGAGATTGCGTCAATGATTATGATGAATGTAGCAAATATTGAGCCTTAACGCAAGAATCGGCAAGTGAAAAAAGTAATTTAAAATGTTGATTAAGTAAAATATTATTTGACAGTAAAATATCAATAATATTATATTTCAAACTATTATAATTGGATGGTCTATAAACGATAAATTAAGTAAAATAAGTAAATGAAGTAATGGCAAACATTGCAAAAATACAAAACAAACAGAATATTTAATATAAAAATATAACACTTCTTTTTCTTTTAATCATCAAATAATTTTTTTAATTTCCTTAATATTTTTTTCTATATTGAACGAGGTTTTATGTCACTTATTTATTCATCTCCAGTCGATAATTCGTACGGGAGAAAGATCCAAGATCGTCTGTACGAGGCGGGATTGCGACATCGACCTTGCCTACGAACGAATATCTTACGTCTAATTGTAAGCACAGAAGGCCAGCCTTTTTTCTCTAACACGAAAAGAGGAGACGAATTTCTCACAGCACTCGAGAATAATTATTGCAATTGTAATTGTCGGCAAGCGAGTGTTAGAGAAACGTAGGACAGGACGCATCGTCAAAGCAAAAACGAAGGTAAAACGCAGTTGAAGTCTTCGTTCTTCCTTCGGCGATGTTGCAGCTCGTTGTCTTCGTTGGTTGTTACTCAAGCAAATAGTTTCTGAATGATGATACTCGGCCATTCTTGTATCAGAATTTCCTGAATGAAACCTGAATCTGGTTCTGATTCTGCGAACGGGCGCAGTTGAATTTATCGGCTGACGACAGCCTGCTGTCGCTCATAATTACCGATATTATCTATCGGAATAATTTTATTTAATTTTTTAAAATATTATATTTTATATTATTAACTATTGGACTACATTTTTTTATCGCGTTGCATATTTCTTTAACGGTTTAATATTACTTTAAACCGATTACGCTTATTGCTTTGCGATATTTCGTAGCATCGCAGTCTACATACGCGCGACACTCTATGGGACAATACGTATAATTAATTCTCTCTTTGAATAAGACGACGCGGTGTGAACAAAGGTCTACCATAAGTGCCGCTGTGACGGCTTAATTACGTGCGATGACAGATTGCTATAATGTCAGAACTTTCTTAATCAATCTTCGCCTTGTAAGCTACCGTGCGACATACTCGTAGCTCATTTTCGTTGAAACAAAGTGATGCCACTCGATGTTCGTGCGGATCGTTTACCGAGTCAGCAGCAAATTATTTCAATTTTACGTTCCAACAAGACCACAATAGAAATATGCTACAACTGCTTCGTGCATAGTCTATAGCTTTATATAACTAGAGAGAGAGAAAGAGAAAAAGGAAAAGAGAATGGAATTTCTGAATATTCTGTTACAAAATATGCACAAAAGTTTTAGTCTGCAAAAATCTTTGCTAATTAATATGTTAATTAAACGACGCTACAATGTTTGACAATATATTAACTTGAGATGTAAGAAAAAAATTTACAAATTTACCATTTTTATTAATTAACTTTGTTTTGTTTCCTGTAAGACATTTGAATGCTAAAAGTATTGTGTTATGTCATATACATAATTGTCAAATTATGCTAAGCATCTATAAAACGTAATGTGATCATGATCTTGCAAATTTACAAAATTAATCATACAGAGAATTCTTCATAAATAATATTGCTTTGTGTAATGAAATTTAAGTAGTATAAGCGTCGATATAGAATAAATGGGAACTGCGTGTCGTTTCACGCTACTTTTTCAATTTCTACTTTTTTAATCGTATTTATTCCAACATTTATCTACATTGGGTGGCATTTTTCATATATTATCTCACAAAATTTAATATAAAATTTAATCCTGCTAAACGTAATTCCTTAACTACACGTTTAAAAAAAGATACAAATTAGCATTCAGCGTTTATAAAAAAATTAAATTATTCGCGTAACGAAATCGTGAAGCGGTTTTGACGATTTATTAAAAAGTGAAATAATTCAGAGTGTTCGATAGCAGCCAGCTGTCAAAGCCATTAGACAAAAAGTTATTAATGGCTGACTTTTATTGTATTCGTGTAATATAATAGACATTCCAGTAAAGACCTCGTCAAGAAACCGCCGGCAGGTTAGCTATTACTGTAAATCTTACCGCATTTTTTATTGACACATACTAATCTTATTAACCTTGTTATCCTTGTGACCAGCTTCTTGGAGGCCGCAATGAAATAGAATTCACGAATATCACGCAAGACGGCATTTTTTACACACATGATCCTAAATTCTTAAAGTTTTTTTAACGAATTACCAATTAATTACAACATGAATTATAATCATCTAATTGGCATCTTTTTACATATGTATATTTGCATAATGCAGAGCTAAATAAAAATAAAACATTTTTTGTGCGATATAAAAAATAATATTTTTAATATCTTGTTCTAACTGGAATATTCTTTACGATTCACATTTTATTAATTTGAACGTTCAAGATTCTATTGTATTCAGATTGTTCTCGTAATTCTTTATTGCATTCAAGCTTTTATTTTATGATTTTATTTTATAATAGTTATGTAATTAATTTAGTACAATGTGTACGAAAAAATCTGTAATATCTATTATTAAATTTTAATGCGCGGGGCAAGTCAAGAGTGACTTTTTTAACCAAGAGATGTGGAACTTTGGTAGCAGTTGCTTACTGCACGATAGGTTCACAAGATACATGATGTTCTCATCATGGAGCATTTTATAAAATAAGTGGTTTTCATGAAAATCGCGTTATAATCTATAATTTAAACGCTTACAGTTCTCTGACAACACACTATTCAACATCGCGCTCATGACTGTGCTAGAAAATTTTGAATTAAATTAAGATAGTGACGCGCAATCGATCGAAGATGCATCATCGATTACGCATTATCTACGCATCACCAATATCAAATCACTCCTAATAATAATATATTGTTTCATTTGTATTACATACGCTCGATAACAATTTTACATGTTGACTTTGTTACACTCTACTGTCGCTACTTGTAATTGAAAAATTACGAGTTAATATTTTTTTTTACTGTAGCTTATGATACTTTTGCACACGTTACGTTAAATCTGCACGCGATTAGGCTTCTAACGAATGCTGTCCTTTTGTAAGAATATATTTTATAATTGGTAAGAGCATTTCACCTGTTAGCCTAGCATTTCACCATGCGTCATTAAAATTTTCATCCAGCTTGGACGAGCTGTAATCAGCAATTCGCGATAACACTATTATTTGCGTAAGATGTTATGCGTGAAATGTTATTATTTGTGCAATATTGTCGGTCTCGAAGAAGAACGGCAAATGAAATAATTATCGGCCAGACGAAAGTGCTCGTTGAGCACCGCTCCAAGCTAAATTTCAGAGCATCATCGAACGTCAATCAACAAATACATTTTAGCTTGGAGTCGCGTGATATGGCATAAGGTGATCGAACCACCAATTATATATCCGTAAGACGTGTGTAAAATCCACACACCTCACGACTCCATATACGAAACGTGACAGCCATTAAATGATTGACTCGTGCATCTAATAAGCGCGAAACTTGTATTTCCTCTCTCTTTGGCTCAATTAACGAGAATAGATTCATAGCTTACGGCTACTCGCTCGTGCTTACATTTGTTATTCTTAAAAAAAATTTATTATTTATTTTGTCTCGTAAATAATTGCAATAAAATAGCAAATTATTTTTGCTTCGTATGAATAATCTTATGATGAATTTGTGAATCGTTCAACTCTCAACTACGTCAGCACACATTAAATTGTTAATAGCACGACATTTGAGATAAACACAGAATACCAAAACAAAGACCTTCAATAATGTCGAAACGTTTAAAGTATTCAATACATTCCAGACTTTCAAGACTCTTGAGACTTTTCAATAAAATAATTTTCCAAATGTTTTGAGACTTTTCTTGATTTTCGATCATTTTGACTTGCTTAAAAATTTGCATACAAGAAATATTAAAAACCTATAATTATTTACATATTAGATTTAGGTATATCTGTTCTACAGCTCGCAATTTATACTTGCGGCGCTATTAGACAACATAATTATATTATTTATAAATTACCGCATGTTATATATTAAATTGTACTATAATTTCTGTCATTATAATAACTATAAATATTATTTATTATATAATAAGAATATTCATGTAACTTGTTCTCGAGCTAAATATTCTCCTATGTCAATTAACATTTTAATCTTAGATGAGCCTATTAAAGATTTTATTAGAAGCTATAAAATTAATTGATAGTAAAATTGATCTTTCACTTTCGTATGTATAAATCGTTTACTTTACGTCAACAGCAAGTATTTCGATGAACTCTCGAAAATAAGATAGTAATGTAGGCATTTATTGAGAAAGATAAAGTGTCTTTGATTGCTAACTAATGTTAATTTTACAGAAGCATTTGACATTTATATATGTAATTTTGATCACTTTCGTTCAAATGTTACTATGCAATTTTAATCTTACAATTAATTCTAATTTGTGACACAAAACTTTCTTTTCTTTTAAATGGTAAACAAGAATAAACGTCAAAAGTGAAAATTACATTAACATGTGACATTAAACATAATTATAATATCTATAATTAATATTATGCACTGAGATATGCTTATTCTAAAAATTTTTATTTTTGATCTCATAATTTTCTCTTTTTTTTTATCTTATAATTTTTAAGACAACATTCTTATCATCTTTTATACAATATTATACGTTTATGTAAGTAAAAATAAAAAATTGATATTTTTTTATCATATTACATTGATAATTACAATAATTAAATATATTATATTACACAATGTAGTCATCAACAACATCGAGAAAAAGCACACTGAATTTGAAAGCTAATAATAAATCTTTAAAATTTTTAAATGCTCTTTTAAAAATCACTATAGTAATTTCTTGTAGTTATATTTTATAAATTTTTAATATTTTATCAATGACATTGTAGTACGAAAAATTTACAACTTTTGAAGGAATCATCGATAAATCATTTTGCAGCGCCTTTATACGGTGATCACAGCAAACTAAATAAATAATTATTCGATTTGAGAATAAAATAGACATCTGCATTATCTATGGACAGTATTCGTTTATTAGGTAAACAGAAATGCATATTTTTAATTAATTTAATTTTTTTATATATTTACAAATTTAAAAGAACTTCAAATTTTTTTAATTAATGAATTAATGTCAAATTAATTATTATAATTATAATAAAATTTTTTTCATAACATTGCATACCTGTTGAATGATTTACGAATGCAAGAAAGACAATCGGGTTGCATAAAAACAGGAGTATTACGTTAATTAAATTATTATTTAAAAAAATAAACTCTTAATTAAAGAATTTGTTAAAACAAAATAAAATTAATATTTTTCTCAAATTTATTTTTGTTTGATAATAATTAAAAATATTATTATTATTGAAATAGGAAAAATAAATTAAATACAATTATATATTTATTAATACATATATAAAAATTTTATAGTAATATATATAAATTTTAATATATAAACTTTATAAATTATTTAAATATAAAATACATATGTATATACATTATATTGTGTTTAGAAAATAAAGAATTACGGAAAATAAATGTAATTTGATTTAATCGTGCTGAAAGAATTACAATGTCGAAATCTTTATAAAAAGAAAATAATGACACATCATTTCTCGAAATGAATAACGATGACAAAAACGTCCGAATCGGCGTTTCACGGTCTTCTGTCACTTCTTTCTAAGAAATCCTTGAATGCATTTGCAGTGTATCAAATTTTAGATTGTCAAACCTCAGTATCCGTCATTACGTTAATCACAATTACTGTATTAAACTTGTATAGGCATAAAACAATAATGTGCACGTTATAAAAGTTTGTTCAATAATTGTACAATTAATATATTAATTTTTGAAGCTATTATTTTCCGTTTGAAAGAAAATCAGCATTATAATTTCAGATCACAAATTTTATAAAACTAATTATCAAAAGCTATAATTATAAGATTTTTTTAATTTAAGATAAATTATTTATGAAATAAAAAACAGCTAATAGAGTCTGAGCTAGAACTAAGTGCTCAACGTTTATTTACAAATTGTGATTTAAAGAAACGTACGTTTCGGCCTTCGGGTTAGGCCATCTTCAATGTACGTATAAAGACAATAAATAAATACAATAACGCATAAGTAAACCTGAGCCTAACAAACTCGCCGTTACAAATTTGTCGCTAATAATCCAAAAACGCAAACGATAATTCTGTATGTTACATTCGAATTGAAGCACTCATTAGATTAAATCTTAGCTCAGGCTCTATTAGCTACTTTTTATTTTATGAATAATTTATTTCTAATTTAAAGAGCCCTTTCATTAATTGGTAAAAAGAATTTTTTAATTTAATTTATTCTTCTTATATAAATATTAATTATATATTGTGTAAATATTATATATAATTCTGCCTTATATATAATATGAATATTAATTTTATTTTGTAATGTTGTCAAAATTACAATATCTGACAGATTTAAGTAAGAATGATAAATTATTTTATTATAAAATCGATTAAAATAATCTCTTAAAACACAAATGTAATTCAAATATGTATTCACTAAAAAGCAGATGCTCAATCATATTTAAATCAAAATTGCAATTTCGATCATCTAACAAGATAAATTGTTTCAAAATCTTACTTAAATTTACGCAGTACAAATATTAGATCTATCATCTTCTATATATAAATCCTCTAAATTACGAATTTTCCATTATTACAAAATTACTCTTCCGGGATAATCAAGTCTATCAAAAGTAAATTACCAGTCTTCCGGGATAATCATGTATGCCCAAAGAGACATCATATTAATCCATATTGCTTATTTCCCCGAAGATGATTATTCATACTTATTATATCTGTCCTTTAAGGGAACACGCACACGATTTTCTCTTTGAACCTGTGCCGCGCAACTCGCCGAACGACCGTCTGGAGCGCGTCGATCAATTCAGCAGCTCACGTGGGCAACCGTCATATACAAGCGAGTGTTCGCAGTTCTCATGCTGCAGCGTTCAGTTGACGCCGGACCGGCGCGAAAGTATTGCGAGAGGTCGTGTAGTTTGTACGCGTAATTGGTAATCTTACGCGTGTGCTACGTTGAGTGACTTCTCCATAATCTGACAATTGTGACGACGCGAACGATCCAGACGAACTTTACAGTGTCACAGAATTCGACGGATTAACTTGTGCATCTTCGCAGTAGATTCTGGCGCATGCGGCTTTATTTACGCGATTCGACTGTCACCCAGAAGACTCGGCGCACTATATGTTGCAGCGTGAATCTTCGAAATTGGTGAGTACTTTGTTATTTAAAGATTATATATATTGTCACGATGAAGTGTCGCACACAACTCATTATCAGTCCTGCACATTAATTGATTACTTAGTGTGATCTCAATCGAACTCCTCATTTCGATGAACGCAATATATTTGCTTAAAAATTAGTTCCAGACTTTTCTTCATATTCTAATTTTCAGTTATGAAATATCTGAAACAAACCCAAGGTAACATAAATTCAGTATTTATTTACATTCCTTGCGTTTCCTGAGAGGAGTGCCAGTTTATCAAAGTTATGATTATCAAACAGTGAACTCGATCCTAACTTGTCGTGACTGATTGTGAATATATTTTCTACTCGCGAATTATATTTTAGAATTAGTATGGAAATTGAGTAAATACTTTTATTCTTTTTTGTTTTTAATTTTTGAGAAAACATAATGTGTAATATTTGCTTCATCAAACTATGGGTGGAATAAAATTGTGAATGGAAAAGTAAATGAGACATACATATTTAAGTGGTCACTGGTTACGAAAGAGTTAATCAGGATCGCCATTGACGATGGACAAAGGACAGGTACTTTACACTGGCGTATTAGAAATTGCTACGAATATTTGATTCTATATGAGCTGTAGTGAAAATATTGTTTACAAAGTAGCAATGGCACTCCGGTTATTCTAAACCGAGTTTATTAAACAAGAATAAGAATGAAAATCTATTTATAACACAAAATTTAACAGTTTGAACAATAAAATGTCGGTGTGGGCGTGCCTTCCCTCCTTTTCTTGCCATTGTAAGGTTAATTGATGAGAGAATAGCGGACGCCGGATGTGCATGCGCTATATCCAATTGTGGCTGCTCGGAACCGTGACTTTGATAAACACTTCTAACACCACGATGCACCTTTGCATTACTTTTAGGGCACGAGAGAGGGGGAGGAGCGCCAATTTAGTTTTACTCTTTTCTGTGCACCGCATTTTCTGCAATAAAAAACGAAATGAGATCTTTTATTATTATTGTATTATTATCAGTGTATCTGGCATGACACATACATTCTGTCTGATATCATTCTGTACACACACAAAGAACATTACAGTGGCACTTATTACTGACAACAATTAAAATATCTTTAATAACATGATATAAATAATAAGTCTTATGTATCTTGATAACGTTGAGTGTCATTTCACTGATAGGATGAAACAAAAAACCATTGTTGATTCTGTTTTCTTTACGATATATCGCGATAAATCTGTTATCCGATCGTGTCTAGGTGCTAATTAGTATTGTTGAAACATCTACATTACGATGCAATTATGCACGCATCACTTCAGAAAGTCATTTTTCGCTTCGCTTTTCATCGCAAAATACTAAATAGCGTTTAGTGAGAATAATATTAAATTGACAAATTGATTGAATCTGAAATCGAAGTCGATGTAGATTAATTTTATCTAATTATTAAAATTACGAAATTGTAATTAAAAGTGACGAATAGATAGAAATCCGGAATAAAAAATATAACGTAATATAAAAATCAGTTTTATCCAGCAAACTTCAAATTGAAAGAACAGCAAAATAGGAGCAAGCCTGTTTTATTTAATAAATTAAATCACGAATTATCACTGAAGTATATATAGGTCGCTTTTTATCTAAATAATACTATACCGAGTGATAGTCTTAAGCTTTCGCAATTAAAAATAAATAACTCGTGGAAGTAAATAGGGGTCTTATCGCATATAATATCATACATCACGTATAATTCGCACGTCTTACATAATTAGAAACTGTCACGTCTACATATATGCTATATAGTATCTAGTAGAATTTACTGTATTCGCGATACCCGTGGCTTTGTCTCCGACGTGTGCGAATGCGCGGATAACATCGGCACGTGTTATTTGTGGGAATCATCTCGCGCTTCTTTTATGCGCACGGCCTGTTTTTGTTGGATGTGTTTGAAAAAAAAACACGTATGGATAAAAAATGACTTAATCACCAATTGTCTTGTCATTCTAGAAAGAGACAATAAAAGAAAGACTACAGCCACGATTATTTGTGCACAGCGTAAAATACATTTTCAATGTTTTAATGTGATTTACAAACCGAAAGATTAAAGCTGTCTCTTGGTGTTTGTTTAAAGTAGCATTGTGCTTAAACAAGAACCGTGAAAGATACTGGAACTGGTGAGAGACACGAAATATTTAATGCAAATATATTCTTATAAATGCGGGAAATCGTGTTTGTTATGTATGGACTAGAATATAAAGCAGAGAAATTCGCGAATCAGGAAACTGATTATTTTATATCACGTTTACAAAGCCGCGTACGTGACTAGAAACGCATTCCTATGTGTCCTCTTAGATGTGTATCATATGAAATGCTTTTGGACTTTTTTTTTTACCTAATAAATTTTGCAACATATGACATATTTACAAAATTTTTAATACTTACAAGTGATCAACTTTGAATGTTTTTTATTAATTTTTATCAATTTATTTATTTAAACTTTTATTAACTTTATTATTCTACTGTAAAATCATAACAAAATTTGATTTTGGCTTAATAATGAAATTTCCGAATAATTTAAAAGATGAAGAACACCAAATCTTTATGTAAAAAATTATTAATGCCTCAAAGAAAATCGCAATTCTCAAACACGAAGAAGACACAAAAGACGTCATATCTACCGTTATTAATCCGAACAATGAAATGTAGCTCAAATCACAATTGCACATACACTCTTGATGACATCTTATTCACGAGATGCTTACATACGTATACGCATTCACGACAATAGCCATCACAATTCGGCTGTCTGTCGCATACGTTATTAGATTATTGGCGCAACAGCCGTTATATATTTGCGAAATAGCTTTCTTCCACAATCGTGACATCGTTTCAAAAAAATCCTTTGTCCTGTGGGTTTTGTAACCACGGATAAAATTGGTTGCGTTAATACTTTTGATGTGACGCGAGTTGCATGCATAAAGGGCTGTGAAGCTGATATGCGCCCAAAATGCGAATTCTTGTGGGACTTATGTGGCATTTGATCGTCCACAGTTTAACCATATTCGTCCATACATGATGTTTTTGTCTACTTTGCAGAAAAAAGTTATGCAAATAAAAAATTGGATAAAATTTTGTCACGAGTTTATTTAAATGCGTTTTTTTTTTATTTTAAAATTTTTTGTTTATGTGTAACTTTTCTTTACAAGATGAATAAAAGAATTATATAATAATATAGTCTAGTAAATTATATAATAATATAGTCAAACTGTGGACAAGCAAATGCCGCATAAGTTTTATAAAAATTCACATCTCCGAATGTCAGCTTTACAGACCTCATGCGTAACTTATGTAACGATCATATGTTTATCATGAATTCATAATTTATATGATTAGCAATATTGTTAGAAAAGTTTACTTATTAGTTATTGATTAATGATTCTGTAATGACTATCAATAAATAGGTAGTAATTATAAGTTATCAATGTGATGGAAATATGTGCAGTGCAGATACGTCCGCAGTAGATAAAGCCAACGCGTGATCAGATACGAATAAAAGTAGATTTTACGTATCGATATTAATTTGTTTGACATTTCTGAAATTTTTATATGCATGCGTAATGCAACGGAATGTTAAATAATTTCATAAAAATCAAATAAATTTGCGAAATTTAATGAGCAATAGTTTAATGAGTACTTTATTAATAGTTTAATGAGTACGTATCTGGGTAGTCTCTTCTAAATTTTAAATATTACACGAAATATTTGCTTAGTAATTTGAATATACATCTAAAGTGATTCCGAGGGTCTCGTTACCGGTGGCGATGGCACTTGGTGACGTCATCTTGGGAGAGAGCGTGATGTTTAAAGTAGGCCGCTGCGTGAATACGAGACACGATTGGTTATTGGCCACAAAGTATGAACGAAACATCGAATCGAGTTTACTCGATATCATGCAATAAAAAAATGTGGTCTTTGAGCTTACGTGTATCTGTTTATGTTAATTTTTAGGTCAGTAAAAATGTCCTGTTCGCGTACGCATGTCTTGTTTAAGATGTGATATCACCGTGCATTCGCGAAAGATAACGCGAGTCTTAACGATCTTCACAGCTGCTCTTTGTAGCTTGTTGCATTCGCAAGGAATCCCAATTTTCTTTATCGCATCTTCTTTCAGAGAAAAGAAGGTCTTCGTCAAATGCATCAAGTTCATTTTTGATGTTTCAGAAGTGAATATAAATTAATACAATTATATAAATTAAATCATTTGTAGATTAAAATTTAAATATACTCGTATATACATACATATAAAATTGATGATTGAACACGCAGAATTCATACAGCATCTATTATCGCATGTCATTAGTACAATCGAGAAGGTGATGACTTTGCAATTAAAAAAGTTTTTGTCACTATAAATCGTTCTGATATATATATATTTATAGGTCAAGCCTTTCGTTCTCAAATCTTACTTTCCAAAGTGAAATACGCATCATTGATTGATTGTAAATTAAAGACGCGATGAAAGCGACAAATCTTGTTATTTATAACATTTCCTGTGACGTTAACTTTGCAAGAAGATTCTGAATGCCTTCAGAAGAATTTTTGTTCTTCAGTGATTTTAGGAAGAGTATAGGTGACTTTTAATATCCGTTAATACACCGTAAAATCAAAATTGTGAAAAGTCTCGCGATTTAAAATGGACATAGTCGAAAAATTTCTCAGGCTCCGAAGAGATGAAAAATTTTCTCCAAATTATGGTGTTTTAATCAGAGTTCTGATAGCGAATAAATTTGGGCTCTATGTACGAATTTCTGGATAGATAAAAATATACTGATATAGATAAATAATAATTTAGATAGCTTAGATAAAGTAAATTTTTCAGTGAAGTGGAGAAAGTGGCCAAATAAGTGACGAATAAGAGTTAAAGTTGAAAGAGCAAGAGTCCAAAGAGAACAAGGAAGAAAGAAGAAGCGACTGCTTTTTGATAAGGAAGAAATTATAGGTTTGAT